GATTGGAGAGTGAATGGGCCACCTCTCCAAAGACATTGGACAAACTACTAGTACATCAAGTCTCTCTACCCCTATGAAGGAATGCAAAATAACACGTTATTTACAGAAACTGTGTGGGAAAGTTTCCCAATAGAATGTAAACTCAGAAGGCTTTAGAAAAACTCAAGAATCAGGGCGACAGCAGGGGGCTCCTTCCAGACTGACCCCAGTGCTTTCTGCCAGCAGCCACGTGTGACCAGGGCTCCCCACAGAGCCACTGCCCTCTCTGAGTGCCCAGCCCCACAGACACGGGGCCTTGCCTTTGCTGAGACACACCGCAGCACAGACCCCGGCTGGGAGTGCATTCAGCCCAGACACCTCTCCCAGCCACAGCTCCCACCCAGGGAAAGGACACGTCTGATGGATGAGCACGAACACAACCCCGCTGGGGTGACCAGCCTGCTCTCCCTCCCCGGCAGAGGAAGGTACATTCTGCCCATTCTGCTGTGGCACAGCGAGCTCTGCCTGTGCTTTGTGTCCTGGAGCTTGTTCCAGCTGTCTCTGCAGGCAGGAAGGGAATAAATTAACTGGCAGAACTGGAAACCATTTGTTATGGTGAACCAACGGCTCGGTTGTCAGCGCCGCTCTGAAGGGCGCAGGAACTGCTGAGCTGTGGTTGGAAAAGCAGAGCAGAAGAGCACTGGAGCAGAACCACACCCCACTGCTGGTTTTGGGGCCCCTCAGTGACCCCTTGCTGCAGCCCAGGCGGGCTGGGTGTGTTCTGCAGCAGATCTGCAGCACAGGAGCTCTGAGGAAACCTTAATGGCCTGGCAAGGAGCAGCCTCAGCTCTGCCTCTCCCTCCCCCTGCAATCCCACCCCCTGTTATTTACTCCCAGGATCCAAAGGCCTCGAGATGAGCACAGGGAAAGCTCAGCCTCCTGAGCAGAGCGTCCTGCAGGCTGCAGAGCTGTCAGCGCCACACCACAGGTTGTGAAAGAGCCTCTCCCTGCTGGGAGCAGCCTCTCCTTGCACAGCTGATGCTGCCCTGCCCCAGCGCTGCCCTGCCCCAGCGTCGCCTCTCCCAACCACAGTGACAGGGAACCTCCGCCGGCAGCGAGGGACGGGCACAGACGTGCAGAGTGTCAGAGCAGAGTGACACTGCCTGAACGGGCAGGCAAGAGGCCACAAGCCAGCCCTGGAGGCTCCCCCAGCGCTGCTGGGGCTGGGGTTTACCTTTCCCAGTTGGTGGGGGCCATCCACAGTCTTCCCGTCGTCATCGGGACCCCAGCTGCAAAGAGAGGCAGTGTGAGGTGACAGCCCCAGGAGCCCCTCCCTGCCATCACAGCCAGCTCCCAGCTGGGACTGCAGAGCGCTGCACTTTCCCACCCGTCAGGATGGCCCCTCGCTGCTGGGACATCGCTGTCGTGTCTGCACTGTGCCCCTGGGTCACATTCCAGCGCACAAAATGTTTGATTTTTATTTAACGAGCGGCTTCTCAGACATTCCAGTCCCCGTCACACGGGGCTGCCTGACCACAGTGGGGAGCACAGTGGGGAGCAGAGCCAGCCCAGGGGACGTGCTGCAGCAGCACACGGAGGGACACCTCACAGCTGTAGGTGGGACAGTCTCCAGGAACAGGATTTTGGTGCCCCAAGGCTAACTGCAGCCACGGGAGGATGGGAGCTGGTGTGAGCACTCAGCCATGAGCTGTGACCCGTCCCAGGAGCCAGCTCAGGGTGCCCTGGGGGCTCACCTGCAGCTGTAGATGTCATTGATCTGATAGTGCTTGTTGAAGGCAATGGCCTCCATGCTGTCCGTGAGGGGCCCGTCCAGCACTCGGATGCCTGCAGGACAGAGGACAAGGAGCTGAGGAACACGGGTCACATGAGCTGCACAAACTGCAAACAAACTCCTGGCTCGAGGCTGCCCCGCTGTGCTCACCCTGTAAGGCCAGCGCAGCTTTGGAGGGCTGAGGCAGCACCAGATCCCGTTGGACTGGGGCAAACCCTCCCATTCCTTGTGCTGTGGGTACACAACGAGCTCATCCCCGCTTCTGCCAGCTGGGAGCCTCTGCCTGCTGTGCCCTGACCGCCCCTGGCACCCAGGGACTGTGGTGTGAGCAGCTATGGACAGAATCGTGTCCCAGCAAGGCTGTCCCCTGCCCTGCCAGGGACACATCCTGCAGGGCACAGAGACCTCCCTCCCTCTGCGGGGCAGCTCAGGAGCTCTGGAGGCAGCTGGGGCACAGCACACATTCCCTGGCCTCAGAGGGGAGAGACACAGCACCGGCTCTTCACCCTTGTCCATCCCACAAGGCAAAGCTGAGACCAGGGGCCAGGGCAGCGAGAGGGGCTGGCCAAGATTTGCTGCCCCAGTGCCTCCAGGCACAGCCCGGGCATGTTGTAGCACAGCAGCCAGCATGGCACACTCTGCCAAAAGTTTGGCAGCCACGGAGGCCAGGAACACTCTGGAAAAGCTGCCAGGAGCCAGCTCCCCTGCAGCGGAGCTCAGGCAGGCGCCAGGCCCTCCCTGCAGCAGCCCAAGGAGCCGCTGCAGCCCGTGGGGCCGTGTCCCACCCTGCGGATCAGGAGGGCACGCAGCCTGGCAGCCTGGCCCCGACCTACCCGCGATGCGGCTGCCGTAGGCGACTCCCACCGTGCAGAAGCTGTTGTTTGGCACAGCCGCGATCTCCCCGGCGCAGCGGGTCCCGTGGTGGTTCCCGTTCTCCTCGTCGGGGTGAGGCATTGGGTCAGGGTCATTGGAGTTCAAGTCATAGCTGCCTTCTGGGCACTGGAAACAGACCCACAGTCGGGACTGGGGCTCTGCTCTCCTCAGTTTGGGAAAAGCAGGAGTTAAGAGAATGCAACATGGGCTGAAACACAGGCTGGATGTCATGGGAACTTGGAGGCTGCTTCCTCACAGGGCTGCACTCAACTCCGCTATCTGCTGCTGTGGGGAAGGGACCAACCAAGGCAGCTCCAGGCACTGCTGCGGGTCAGAGGGATGCCAGCTGCTTCCCATGGGTTGCACAAAGGCAGGGAAACCCCAGACCCAGGTGCAGAATCTCCCAGGAAAGGTTTGCTGCTGGCACTTTCCGCCCAAGGTGACGGCGCAGGCTGGACTCTGAGCTCTCACACGCTCCTGTCACACCGCCCTGCCTCCAGCCTGCACAGGCACTCACGTAGTTTGGCTGGATGTCCTTGATGGTGTGCTCCACGCCGTCGTCCACCACCACCACCGTCACCCCGCGCCCCGTCACGTTCCGCTCCCACACGCCCGTGACGTTGATGTCCTTCCCGGGGCTCTTGTGGTTGTTCTACGCACCAGAAAGGACAGTGGGGACAGGGTCAGCGCTGGGGGGACCTCTTGGGTGCACTGGATATGACGTGTGGGGCTGGGGCCAGCACGGGAAGGAGTCACAGGGCAGTCAGGGGAGATCCTCTGAGGCTGACAATGAGCAACAGCTGCTCGAGCCACGACGTGGAGGGCACAGCGTGCTCCAGCCAAAGCCCTCTGCCCACCCCAGTGCCACCAGCGCACAACCAGCTGCAGGAGCTGCCTCCTCCCCTTATCACAGCACGCAGGGCGAGGTCTCAGTGAGCTCCCTCCTCACCAAAGAACAGAAAGAGGCTGTTCTGTCCCTCAAGTGGCAGCTCACCTGCAGCCACACAAACAGCCTGAGCCTGCGAGCACGGCAGGAGCCGGGTAACCACTCACCAGATGCCACTGCTGGGGGTATTTGGGATCGTTAAAGTGCAGGCTGCGCTTGGAGCGCTTCAGAAGCTTCTGTTCCGAGTGCCACCGCACGCTGTCGTGCTGTGCAAACAAAGCGTCCACCGCCCTCCTTATGGCTTCGTGCTGGGGCGCCGCGCGGCCCTCGGGCTGGTAGGCAAAGAGGTAATGGCCCTTGAGCTCGCCCACACGGCCCATGTTCACCAGCCCCGCCGTCCGGGCCAGCTCCTCTGCCCGCTGCTCCAGCTCCTCCTCGGGTGCATCCAGGCTGACCGCCCACGTCAGCTTCCCGTGGCGGCCCTCAGTGTCCGGAGCGCGCTGCCCGCCCGAGGCCAGCGGGATCCAGGGAGCGCTCAGCCAAAGGCAGGTGTGGATGCAGAGCGTGGCCTCCATCCCCGCGCTCCATAGCGGCGCTGCCCGCCTCCAATGCGGCATCAGACAGGCGGGCTGCAATGACAGCGGGGAGAGCCCCTCCTGAGGATGAGGGACACCCCAATGTCCCACAGAGCAACACCAACCCGCTCCACGGCAGATCCCCTTCCTGGGAAACGCCAGGCTCCTTCCCAGCGGCTCACAGCTGGAGGCACACCCGGGCTGGGCAGGGATGGATCCCAACCCTGCCCTGCCTGCCGGGTGCCAGCCCCGGGCCGGGAAACACCGCGCTGGGCTGGCAGGAGGAGCCGCTCCCCCCTCTCGCCTCTGGTAAGGAGCTGATAAGGAACTCCCGGTGCGTAGTTCCCCGGAACAAACACCACGGGCACCCCGCGCTCCGTGGGCACCCAGAGCCGGTTCCTCCTCTGCAGAACTCGCTCCTCACCTGCTCCCCGGCCGGAGGAACCCGCTTTTCCCCGGCACGGGCAGAAAGCACCACCGAGCCGCGGTTCACCACCGGCAGCGCAGGGCAGGGCAAACACCTCCCGAGCTCCCGGTGCCCTGGCCGTGCCCGGAGCTCCACACCCCCGGTCCTTTCCCTCCCTCCACCCGCTCCATTCCCCCTGACACTGCACGATGAGCTCAGGGTTCTCCCCATAAAATCGCTTAAAGCGCCCCTCGATCCCCCCGGCAGCGGCACCGCGCAGCGCCCCGGGGCTCCCCGCTCCGCCGGGCACCGGCACCGGGGACACTGCCGGGGTCACCACGGGCACAGCGGCCCCGCTGCCCTCCGCCACCCGCCCGGAGCCGGCGGGGAACCGGCGGCAGCGGGGCCGGCGCTGCGGGGCCCGGGGCGCATCCCGCCGCCCGCCGCCCCCGGTGCCGCCCCGCAGCGCTCACCGGGCATGAGCCGCCGCCGCCGCCGGAACCGCGGTGCCGCTGACAGCGGCGTCACATCCGCCGGGGCGCGGGGCGGAAGGGGCGGCGCGGCGGGGGCGCGGGTCGTGCGCTCCGCCCGGTGCCGCTCGCTGCCCCCGGTGCCGCCCGGTGCCCCCGGTGCCGCTCCGCCGGCCCGGCCCAGCCCCGCAGCCGCCCCCATGGCGCTGGAACAGGCGCAGGTCGACGGCCCCGACCCGCCGCGCCTCTGCGAGCCCGGCCCCGCCGCGCCGCCCGGCAGGTAACGGGGGGGGCCGGCGGGGCGGCAGCGGGGCCGGGATGGGGCGGGAATGGGGCCGGGATGGAGCGGGGATGGAGCGGGGATGGGGCCGGGATAGAGCGGGGATGGGGCCGGGATAGAGCGGGGATGGGGCCGGGATGGAACCGGGATGGAACTGGGATGGAGCGGAGATGGGGCCGGGATGGGGCCGGGATGGAACCGGGCAGGAGCCGGGATAGAGCGGGGATGGGGCCGGGATGGGGCCGGGATAGAGCGGGGATGGGGCCGGGATATAGCGGGGATGGGACCGGGATGGGACCGGGATGGGGCCGGGAGGGGGCCGGGATGGGACCGGGATGGGACCGGGATGGGGCCGGGAGGGGGCCGGGATGGGGCTGTGATGGATCCGGGAAGGAGCCAGGATAGAGCGGGGATGGAGCCGGGATGGAGCGGGGATGGAGCCGGGATGGAGCGGGGATGGAGCCGGGATGGAGCCGGGAAGGAGCCGGGATGCAGCCGGGATGCAGCCGGGATACAGCCTCGGCGCGGTGCTGAGCGATGCCCGGTTCCCCGCAGCGGGAGCCCGCTCTCCGCCCCGGAGAGCCCCGGCGAGCCCGGGCCCGGCGGGGACGGGGAGCCCGCGGCCGGTCCCAGCCCCGGTCCCGGCCCCGGTCCCGGCGGGGATGCGGAGCCCGGTGCCGGCGGCGCTGAGGCCGCGGGGCAGAGCGGAGCGGCGGCCGAGGAGCCCGAGGAGGAGGCGGCCCCGGGCAGACCCTCGCAGAACATCGCGGTGCAGGTGGGTGCAGCTCCCCCGGGCTGGGGCTGTGCGGGGCCAGGGCCCTGGGAGGCTCTTGTGGGACCTGGAGGATAAAGAACTGAATAAGCCGTGACCGAAGGGTAAAACACATCCGTACTTGCAGCTTTAATTAAAATTCGACCTGATGAGGCCACACCTGGAGTGCTGTGTTCAGGTCTGGGCTCCTCAGTACAAGAAAGACAAAGAGCTGCTGAAGAAGGGTGCTGCAGCAGTGGCTGTGAAGATGATGAAGGGTTTGGAGCATCTCTTTTATTAGGAGAGACTGCTGGTGCTGGGCCTGGCTGGTCTAGATAAGACTGAGAGGGGATCTCATTAATGCATATAAATATCTCCAAGGGGTGTCAGAGGATGGTGCCAGCTGCTTTTTGTTGGTGCCCAACTATAGGATGAGGAACAATGACCATAAACTAAAATGATAAGTTTCATCTCAATACAACAGAGAACTTCTTTCCATGGAGGGTGGCAGAGCACTGGAACAGGTCCCCAGGAAGGCCCTGGAGTCCCTCTGGTCACTGCAGGGGTTTATCTCAATTATTTCCCTTCACAGACTGACTTCAAGGCGGCTGATGCGGACGTGAACACGGACCAGGACATCGAGAAGAACCTGGTGGGTATCAGAGCCCTGTGCTCAGGCTCTGCCGCTCACCCTCCCAGGCAAAGGAGCTGGAGCTGTTCTTCCCACTTTTCTCCTGTCAAAATGGAATCATAGAATCATTATGGTTGGAACAGACCTCCGAGACCATCAAATGTCAGCCTTGGAGTCCTGGGGCTGTCCTGGTTACAGAGGAGTTTTGCTCTCCACTGCAGGACAAGATGATGTCCGAGCGGGCCTTGCTGAAGGAGCGCTACCAGGAGGTGCTGGACAAGCAGAGGCAGGTGGAGAATCAGCTGCAGGTCCAGCTTAAGCAGCTCCAGCAGCGGAGGGAAGAGGAGATGAAAAACCACCAGGTATTTGGTGGAGAACTGTTTTTGTTTAACCTGCTCTGTAATTAATATTTAAATCTTTATGAAGAGGCAGGAGAACCTGCAGTCAAGAGCATTAGCTTCCTGAGTTTCCTCATAATAACCAATTTATATCTTGTCTGGATCTACTAAAAAGAAAGAGTTTGCTGTGTAATCTCATTAATCGACTAATTTAAAAAATAATGTATTTTAAACCAAAACCACTACTTGGTGATTTTTCTCTGTATCTGTTTGATGCTTCTTTTACTCCAGGAGATCCTGAAAGCCATTCAGGATGTTACGATCAAGCGAGAGGAGACTAAGAAAAAGATGGAGAAAGAAAAGAAAGAATTCCTGCAGAAAGAGCAGGATCTCAAAGCTGAAATTGAGAAACTCTGTGAGAAAGGCAGAAGGTATTTGTACGGCAAATAGAGTGTTTGTTTTTGGGGAAGAAGACCTTGCTTAATCATGATATAAACCTGGTGGACCAAAGAGGTTTAAACTTCTAGGAAGCAGCAAGTATTTAGGTCAGACCTGTATATAGATGAATTCAGGACAGGCCCTCTGTTTGAACTGGCATTTTTATGGAGCCATTCTGTCATGTCATAGAGGTCTGTTTTTTATTCTGAGGGCTCAGCGATGTTTTTGGGTAACACTCCTCCAGTGATGGCTCTGAGTGCTCAGCCCTTTTCCCCCAAGTGACCGTGGCAGAGCACGTGCTGGGGGAGCTGCCTGCAGCGAGCCTGGCTCTGTGCCACAGCCTTCGTGCAGTGCCAGGGGACAGCAGGATTTGTGCTCCAGGGGCTGTGGGGGCCTGTTTGCACACACACATTGCAGGGAGCCATCCCCAGCCCGTGCTGCTTGAATGTGGGCCCTGCTCCGTTGGGATTCCAGCTGGGCTGTCCCTTTTCTCCCCTGCAGGTTGCTGAAGGAGCAGGAGGAGAAGGAAAACAAGATTGCCTCTCTGATCGCAGAGCAGTCTGATGAGAAGTAAGGCTCTTACCCTCACCTGATTAGTGCTGCCCAGAGCACTGTTCTGTCATTCTGCCTCGCAGAGAAGCCGAAGCTCTTGGTTGGGACAGAGCAGAGACAATGATGCAGCAGTGCTGGCCAGTTAACGTGCCCTAGAGGTTTTATCTCCTCTTTCAGCATCAGGCTCTGGATTAAACCTTCTTTGATCCCAGTCACAAGCAGACTCCTGGATACTTGTGACATAAAGATCCCATAAGATTAGAGTTTATGCTTGGTGGATTGACTCAGCTTGTAGCTGCTACTTCTGATTGAATTTCAATTCTCCAAAATGAGGGCAGACTGATTTCCCTGTCTGTTCCCCACAGCTGTTCAGCTACACTAAACTCTGGCATGCTCGGGTATTTAACACTGGGCAGGGATGCTCCAGGTGTTCCCAAAGCACAGTGGAAATGCCCTCCAGGATCAGAACAGCATAGCTGCTTGGGCTGATTCGTGGTTCAGATCTTCCCTGGGACTGGACTGAATTTTGACCAGGGAAATTCCCCTTGTTTGGCCCAGCATCTTTGCACACTGCTTGTTTGTGTGCTCTGGAGCAGCTCACAGCTGGGACACAGCCCAGGGAGCTGAGGCTGGTGTCATGGGCTGGAGACTGCTGATCTCCCATGTTCCAGCCCATCCTGAGCTCCTGGGATCCATCCTTTGGGGCCATTCTGGTGCCTGAGCCTGAGGGGACTTGTTCTGTTCTGTTCTGTTCTGTTCTGTCCTGTCCTGTTCTGTTCTGTTCTGTGTGCAGGCAGCTGTGGGAGATGGAGCTGGACAAGCTGAAGAACCAGCACAATGAAATCAACAGGAACATTCTTGAGGAGACAGAGCGGGCCTGGAAAGCAGAGGTGAGCAGGTGACTTCTTCCTTGCAAAGTGGTTGGTTTGGGATTCCAGCTGGTTAATGGGAAGTTCTGTGAAATTAAGAGCAAGGCCAAGAACCACTTTGTGGGGTAAGAGGAAAGATGAACACGTGTCAGAGCAGGGAGCAGTGGACAGTGTCTGGTCTGGCAGCAAGGACCAGGAGTACAAAATCTGAGCCTCTCTCCATAGATCCTGTCCCTGGAGAGCCGGAAGGAGCTGCTGGTGTTGAAACTAGAAGAAGCAGAAAAAGAAGCAGAGCTACACCTCACCTACCTCAAGTAAGTCTGTGTCGTGTCAGAAGTGGCAGGAAGGGTCACTCAAGTGTCCCCGTGTACCCTCTCCTCTTCCTCTGCTTACGTTGGAGGTTGGACTGGAGTAGTTCAGGATTTCCTGTGGTTTTCTTACTGGATCAATGTGATTATTCAATAATGTCCCAGAGCAGGGGTATGTGGGGCTGTGCTTATCCCCTGGCACTGTTCAGCTGCCAGGCTCAGTCAGTGCTGTTGGCTGTGGTGTCCCTGTGTGTCCCCCAGGTCAGTCCCTCTCCCTTGTGGGGTGCCTCACCTGGGGTGAGCCCTTCCCACCCCGCTGGAGGAGGGGAAGCCAGCAGGGTTTGGGGGTTGCCTGTTCCCACTTTGCTGCCAGTGAGAGCACAGTTGCAAGTGGGAAAGTTCAGCTGTGCTTGCAGGTCTGCGCCGCCCACGCTGGAGACCATGAGGCCAAAGCAGGAGTGGGAGATGAGGCTGAACAGGATACGTATGACCAAGCAAAGTGTCCGAGTAAGTCCCTGCTGACCTCTCCCAGCCTAGCAGTGAGCAGTTCTTCACGTGCACTGTGTTTCTCCCTTCAGCTCCTCTCCATTCTTCTGTGGAGCCACTTTAGGGCCTGCCACCCCCTGGCTTAGAATGCCCCAAACTTGCTCAGGTTTGATAAATGCGCCCTTTTTCTTCCCTGCCTGCCAGGATCAGTTCAACGACCACATCCAGATGGTGAGGAACGGCACGAAGCTGAGCAGCCTGCCCCAGATCCCGACGCCGACGCTGCCTCCTCCACCTTCAGAAGTGAGTGCCTCTCCAGCCCCACAGCACGGGCATTCCGTGCTGCCAGGCCCTGGCACAGCCTGCCAGGTGCTGTGCGTGTGTGGGGTGACCAGAGAGGAGGGGAAGGGTCTCATTCCCTTTCCAGCTGCCAGTGCCTGCAGTCCTCACCTCGCTGCCTGGAGAGGAGGGCGCTCGGCTCTACTTCCAGGTGGTCTTACTCTAACCAGCCTTTCCCTCTTGCCCTGCTTTTCTTTCTCAGACAGATTTCATGCTGACGGCATTCCAGCCCAACCCCTCCCTGGCTCCCCGGCTGCCCTTCCCCATCGGGCCGGTCCCCGTGCCCATGGTCATGCCGAGCGCCGATCCCCGGGCGCTGTCCTTCCCTCTGCTGAACCCCGCCATGCCCAGGCCCAACCAGCCCTCCCCGCCCCTGCCCGCGTCGCAGGGCAGGAGCAGCCCGGTGCTGGCGTCGCTGATGGGCACGCACGGCCCGCACATGGCCCCCGCTGCCTCCATCCCCCCTCCCCCCGGCCTGGCCGTGGGCGCCGCTCCCGACTTCCACCGGCCCCAGCCGGCCGACAAGCTGGAGAAGCTGCTGGAGAAGCTGCTGACTCGCTTCCCACAGTGCAACAAGTACGGGCTCGGGGGTGGTTTTCGGGAGGGCGAGGTGGGTGTAGTGGGAGCTGGGATCAGGGGAAGGGGGCTCCTGGTGGGAACTGAGGCAGGCAGAGGTGGTGGTCTCCATCAGTTTGCTGTGGTGCTGGGGGTGGGGATCACCGGGAGCTCTGCAGGACAGCAGGGATACCTGGGCACAGCCAGGAGCCCCCCAGCCTGTCTCTGGGGGTTCCCTGCTTTTTCCCCAGTGTTTTGGGGGGAGAAGCTCCTCAGCACGTGGCTCAGCTCACCTGGAGGGTGGAGGGAAAGCCCATGGCTCCCCCCAGGCAGCGGCGCTGAGGGGTCCCGGTCTGTGAGGACCAGGAGCTCTCAGCAGGCTGCTGTCCACGCAGGGCCCAGCTGACCAACATCCTGCAGCAGATCAAGACTGCCCGCAGGACCATGGCCGGCCTGACCATGGAGGAGCTGAACCAGCTGGTGGCAGCCAAGCTGGCGGAGCAGCAGGAGCGGGCAGCGGCCGGCGCTCAGGTGGGACAGCCTGGGGGCTGCTGCGGGGGGAGCCTGGGGAGCAGGGAGAGCTGGAGAGCTGCCTCTGCTCCCTGCTTCCCCACGGAGCTCGGGCTGTGCGGCAGGGCTGTCCCCTGGGCTCCCTGGCCTGCTGGCTGCGGCGTAACCAAGGAACAGTTTTCCCTGGGGGGACTCCCCTGTCCTTTCCCCCCGGGCTGTTCTGATGTGCCTCCTGTGCCTTGCTGCAGCCTCTGGGCCGGATCAGGGCCCCCATGTTCTCTGCTCCCCTGCCTCAGATCAGCACGCCCATGTTCCTGCCGCCGGCCCAGGTCGCGTACCCGGGAGCAGCGTCACACGTAAGGATGCTCTAAGGGTGCTCGGCTCTGGGAGCCTGCTGGGATGTCCTCCAGGGATGGGAGCTCTCTCACAGCTGCCTGGGCTGCTGAGCTGAAGGGGATTGGGGGCACAGATCCTTTGGGTTTCACGCTGGAACAGAGGGACACAAGACGTGGTGGTGGCTCTCAGGGCGGCACGGCTGTGGGCAGAGGGAACTGTGGCCTTGGGCTGCAGCTGAATCCGTGATCAGAGCTCTGTCTGACTTCCTTGCCTGCTCCTTTCTTTCCCTCGCTGCCCCCCCAGACCCCAGCTGCCTGTAAGCTGTGTCTGATGTGCCAGAAGCTGGTGCAGCCCGGAGACCTTCACCCCATGGCCTGCTCACATGTGCTGCACAAGGAGGTGAGTGTGTTCTGCTGCTCAGGGCCTCCTCCTGGTCCTTCCAGGTGACCCTTCCCGAGTCCTCGTTGTCCTGACACCTTGCCAGGAGAAGGGTATGATCAATAAACAGCTTCCCTGCATCCTGTCATCCCATCCTTCCTGTACTCTTGGCTGGCCACTCTGCATGGCCAGGGGCTGGTGGCTTTAGGAACAGGCTGCCCTTGTGTCCCCGAGTCTGTGCTGTCTCTGTGAGGCTTGGATGCTGGAGCAAGACAGTCTAGAAGGATCTGGAGCTCAGGGTGAGGGGAGAGCTGCCACTGCTGCCCAGGTGTCTGGGCTGGGGATGCCAGACAGGAGCTCTTGGGAAGAGGAGGAGACATTCCCATCCCATGGGCCTGGCAGTGGGTCACCTGTGTGGGGAACCCCCATCCCAACAGCTCTGGGGCCTCCAGCAGTGGCCCCTCAAGGAAATGGAAATCACATTGAGGGCGTGATGGCCCTGTGAGGGTGACAAGGGCTCCTTCCTCACGGTGCCCTTGTGGTGGAGGCTGCAAGGAGCAGAGGAAAACACCCCTGAAGCGAGTGCAGTGAACAATGATGGCACCTTTGGGTTGGGCCAGTGGCTCCTGACTAATTCTCTCTCTTCCAGTGCATCAAATTCTGGGCACAAACCAACACAAATGATACTTGCCCCTTCTGCCCAAGCCTCAAATGACGGCTGCTGGGACAACGTGGGCTCCTGGGAGGAGTTGCTGTGAATAGACAGGATCAGTTCTAAGATTTCTACAGTTCTATATTTATACGATCATGTATACACATGTACATTTTTATTATATAGGTAATGTGTGTATAGAAAGTCTGTAAACATACAAATTCATAAATAAAGTGTGTATATTATGCAGTGATTTGCTGCAGCTCCTCATTTCTTAGTCCTCAGCCACCCCTTCCCACTTGGATCCCATCAGCTCCTTTGCTAGGGCCATTCCTCACGACCTGGTGCCTCACCACCCCCACATCCCTGCCAGTCTTCACCTGGTTTTTTCCCCCTCTTGCCAGTGAACCAGTTGCAGATGAAGAGCCAATTTTTTGTGGTCGTTTATTTTAATGTCATAATAATTTACCGTGTTAACATTCATTGTTCTTACATAGACACTGGGTTACAGAGTACTGGAGCCTCCAGCGACAGCCCACGGTCCCGTCCTGTCCCATCCCCTGCTGTCACCGGGCCCGGGAGGGCGCGGACGGACCTGTCAGAATTCCAACCTGTCAGAATTCCTGCGCTCCCCTCTCCTGTACTTCCTCCCAAAGCACGGGCTGACACGCCAGCCCTTTCTCCATGGATTCCGGTGGGATTGCGAGGTGCTCAGCACTGCTGAAAATCTTGCAATGACTCTCTCAAATCCCCCCTTTCCTGGCGGTCTGTGGCAGGACCGGGCACTGCCCCGGGCGGGCAGGGGAGCCCCGGGCACCGAGCCCCCCGCGGGCACCGAGCCCCCCGCGGGCACCGAGCCCACCGCGGGCACTGAGCCCACCGCGGGCACCGAGCCCACCACGGGCACCGAGCCCCCCGCGGGCACCAAGCCCACCGCGGGCACCGGCGTGTTTTAAGGCAGTGGTCCACAACAGAGTCTCTGGGGTCTGGGGGTCCTGGGCAGGCACGAGGGTGGGGGGAGAGCGTTGCCCTCTTGCAGGGAGCGGCTGGAAGGGGTTTGGAGTGAGGCTGGGGCCGAGGTGAGCGTGGTGGGGCTGAGCAGGGGCAGCGTGGGGGCTGTTGTGGCAGTGCCCCATGCCAGGGCTGGCTGGTCTCCTACTCTGCCTGTGCTTCCCGGCTCCCTCGCTGCCTTCCCAGAGAAACCTCTGGCTGCAGGGTTTAATTAACAAGCTCGGTGATTGCTGTGGGTCCTGTCTGTCCCTGCCTGACCCCGGTGGTGGCACTGCAGGTATCCCCTCTTTGTTCATGGAGGAGCGATGCCTTTCAATTGTGGAATGGCTGTGTCTGAGCTCTTTCCTATCCGGGCTGGAGGCAGAGAAGCAAAGGGAATACAGCACTACCACGGCCTGCAAGGTCTGCTCTGGGGAAGGGACGGTGATCCTGCAGCACGGGGAGGAGGAGTTGTCCTCACACACCGCGAAATCCTCTCTGAGGACAGAGGTGCCTTCTGTGCTCAGGCTCCTTTGGGCTTGTGAGCCACTGCTCTGTGTGCTCCAGCCCTGCACCCCCTCCTCAAGCCAGCTGGGACCCCCTCACCATCAGTGCCCCCACCACGCACGCGGCTGCGGCGTCAGCGCCGGCCCTGCGTGGTGCCCACAGCGGCCGAGCACTGAGCAGAAGGCTAAAAAGATTTTAAAAAACTCCAAAACGAAACAGGACCGACCCCTAATGTTGGAACAGTGGCTTTCAGGGCTAGAATTAAAAATAGAGATATATGGATATACTGTACAGGTGAGAGGCGGCCGTGGTCTGTACACGTGGGACCGGCTCTGTACACGCTCTCAACGCGCAGCTGCGCTACCAGTGACACGCTTTGTAAAAAAAAAAAAATAAATACAACCATGTGTTTAAAAAACAATAAATGCTGCAGTTCCCACAGTTGCCGCCTGTCCCTGGGATGCCAGGGTGTCTCCCAGCCAGGCCTGGACGTGTGGAGTGAGCAGGGAGGAGCTGCGGTGCCGTGGGATGTGCCGGGGTGAGGTGGGGGCTGCAGGGGGGGCCCAGGCTCCCCTATGGCTTTCGAAGGGCTGGGTGGGCTGGGGAGCAGCCGGTGCCAGGGCTGGGAACTTCACTCCTGGCACTGGCTTCTGCATGGCAGCCACTGCTGATGCTGGAAGCGAGGGCAGGGAGTTTCCCAGCGACGGGTGCCTGCTCCTGCCTGTCCCAGGAGAGGATGGGTGCCTGCTCCTGCCTGTCCCGGGAGGGTGCAGGGAGTCCTGGGGCTGGCAGCAGCGGCAGCACAGCTCGGGAAGGCAGGAAAATGCAGGGGAAATGTGAGAGCGAGCAGTATAGGGGCAGCAGGGTAGGAGGGAAAGCCCTGTCTGGGTTGGTCTCTGAAAAGCCCAAGGCTGGAGGGCTCCAGGATGATCCCCGGAGTCTGGCTCAGCGCAGGGAGTCACGGTGGGCACAGCTGCAGCACAGCTCCCTGCAAGAGAGCCTGGGCTGGCAGCTTCCCGGCAGGGAGAGCTGGAAAGGATGCACAGGGATGGAGGGGGACAGGCAGGGGATGGCTCATCAGCGTCACTCCATCAAGCCAGGCAAGGCTGGGTGGGAGAGCTTGGTCCTGTCCTGGTGCTGGAGCAGAGAAGCTGCCCCCAGCTCCCAGGATGGGCTTGCTGAGCTCTCCCACTGCCGGCTGCCTCTCTCCTGCTGCAGCTCCCAGAGAATGGCACCTGGGCTGGGGGCTGCTGGCCCTGACAACACCGGGTCCCCCGGCCGTGGGCACCGGGCCTGAGCTGCCCGTGCTGCTGCCACGCTCCAGCCCCCGGGGCAGGGCCCTGCCCTGTGCCTCACCTGCGGGCCGGGGCTGCGCCCGCGCTCGGCCGTCACTTCAGCAAGGAGATGTCGTCGGCGAAGTCGTCGTGGTCCCGCCGCAGGCAGCGGAAGCAGCGCCACTGGAACACCATCAGGCACAGGGGCAGCATGAAGAGGGCGCAGATGGCCGCCATGACGTAGGCGATGGTCATCAGGGTGGACTCGTCCGTCTGCGGGATGTTGTAGCCGCAGTCCTCCATGTTGGAGTGCGGGTGGGGCCCGTCCACCGCGGCCGTGCGGAACTCGTCGTGCACTGCGGGAGGGGAGGCAGGCTCCGGTCTCTGCGCCCCACGTCCCCTCCAGCCCCTCCCCGCGCGCCCAGCTCACCGTGGCAGGCGCTGACGGCGAAGCCGATGCGTTTGCGCGCGCGGTCGAACACCACGTAGAAACCCTCCATGATCACGGCGCCCATGACGGTGCCGGTGGAGGACTGGGAGATGGCGAACTTGTAGCAGTCGTCCTGAGAGGTGGCCACGTCCTCCACCGGGCGCAGGTATTGCTGCAGGGGACGGGAGCAGTCAGGGAAGGGGCACGGGAGGCAGCTGCATCCACCCATCGTGGTCCTGCCCTCCCCAGCCCACGCTCCCTGGGCAGGGTCTGGCCAGCCCAGCGCTCACCTGGGGCAGGATGGTGATCCGGAAGGACTGGTTGGTGGCCTCCCCCATCAGGTAGAGGGACAGGACCGGGAAGATGTGCCAGGGGGTGGTGCCGACCTGCCAGCAAACCAGCTGCTCCCCCAGCCAGAAGCCGTCTGGGAATTTCTCCGTCTACCAGAGGGAAAGGGGAGGTGAGCGGGGCCAAGCTGGGCAGGCAGCAGAGACGCCAGGCTGGTGAGGGGCAGCCACACTGCCCACAGCCCTGCGCTGGCCCTGGGCCATGCCCGTGGGGAAGGGGTGGGATCTACTGACCGAAGACGCTGTTTTGATGGATTTCACTGCAGCCTCAAACACCTTCTTTGGTAGCCTGAGGTTGGTGGTCCCGCTGTCCACAATGCTCTTGTCGTAGTTGTACTGGGGGGCAGAAGAGAAGGAGTGACCCAGGTGCAGGACCCCAGCCCACTCCCCTCCCAGCCCCTCTGACCAGCGCTGGGTGCCTCCAGTGCCCGTGGGGCAGGTCCGCCACTGCCTGCTCACCTCCTTGCAGTCCATGTTCAGGTCCTGCCCGTTGACCTCCAGCTTGACGATGATGACCTCGTAGTACCACTCCTTGCGGATGGGGGTGTACCAGATGTCACCCACGTACAGCGAGCGGTCGATGCCGCCGATGATCTGCAGAGGAGACAGCACAGCGCTGCCACCACGCGCTGGCAGTGCCACCAAGGAAGGCCCCAGCCAGGCACCTGTGGAGCGCTCACCATGCTGCCTCCCACCGAGGCCACGGCCTCTGTCTCGTTGGGAGAGAAGCCTGTCCCGCACAGCTGCAGGGAGAAGATGTTGGGCACCCGTGTCTGCTTCACCAGGGAGTCAAAGAAGGGCTCCAGGCTGTCGTCGGGCTGGTGGGAGGAGAAAGCAGAGGCAGGACAGGGATGTGTCAGTGCTGTCCCTTCTCCAGGAGCTCTCTGTGCCCAGGGGACAAGGACTGCTGTGCCCCAGGGGACAAACAGGGACAAGGAACAGGGCAGCTGAAGCAGGACTGTCAGCCAAGGCTCACCCGGGCAATCTCGGCATAGGCCAGACCCAGGATCCCTTCCCAGTTGGAGCCGTTGATGAAGAATTTGTCTGACTCCGTGATGGCAGCGATGTTGGCTCTGACGGTGACGTTGGGGCCGTGGGGGATGGTGACGAGGTCAGTGCCCAGCTCCCCTTCCCACTTGCCCTGGGTGTAGGGCACATACACTCCCTTCCGCAGGTCACGGTAGGTGCTGGACCTGCGACAGCGGCAAAGGGACGAGTCAGACCAGCAGGGGTTTGTGCATCCAGCCATTCCAGAGGCCAGGTCTGGCCAGACCTCCAGCCAGGAGAAGCAGCGTGCCTGAGAGGCTGTGCTCTGTGTCCCCCCAGGATACTCACAGCTGCCGCTGGTAGTATCTCCGGAGGAAAGGGTGTGGTGCAGCTCCCACAGCGAAGTTACTGCTCCCTGTGTCCACCAGGATATTCAGCTGGAGAAGGAAGAAAGACAGGAAGGCTCGTGAGTGCAGTGGGACCCTCTTTTGTTGTGCCCAGAGAGAAAAGGAGGTGGTGGAGCAGGAGGCAGCGACTCAGGGAGTTGCACAAAGAGCAAACACCATCCAGCACTGTGCAAACAGAGCATGAGCTCCTTGCTCAGCACGGCCCGGCCTCAGCCCCCCAATCCACGGGCAGGGTTTGGGAAGCACCTGGCAGGTGTCTTGGGGCTGGAGAGCAGCAGCAGCAACGCAGGGTGCACGGGCTCCCCTTGGCAGGAAAGCAGATTTGCTGGCACAGATTTGGTGGGGAGGATCACTGGTGGGCAGCCCCGGTGGGTCCCTGTGCCCGCTAATCACCACCCATATGCCGAGCCCTGCTCCTGATTCATTCTGCCAGGGCAGGATTACCACGCTTGGCACATATCCCGCTGGCAGGGCCAGGACTGCCCTTGGCTGACCCGTGCCTGCGGCCCTGGCGAGGAGAGGGACAGGATTGCTGGGTGGGATTGCTGGGTGGGATTGCCAGGGTGCACAGCCCTGGTGGGATTGCTGGAGTTGGAGCAGGGCTGTCCAAGTCTCCTGGCTGTGCTGGGCAGCAGAGCCCCGGGCAAGCCCTGGCCCCAGACCCAGGAGCTGCTTCAGAGCAGCAGCAGCAGGGCTTTGGCCCCTAATCTGTGGAGTCAGAGGGAGAGGAAGGAGGTTAATGCGCTTGTGTTAATCACAGCAGCACCGGCTGCAGCTGCCCAGAGCTCTCCCTGACAGGGGCTGGCGTGTCCCGAGCGCCCCAGCTCCTCCTCCCTGCCAAGGGGAACGTTTCAGGCCGTGGGTAAAGACCAGAGCAGCACGCTCACCCCCCCAGTACCCACCCTGGGTGGGTGCCAGCCCAGCACCCACCACACAGCCTGGCAACCTGGCACCTGCGCCAGCCCCAGGGCTGCTCCCGGTTCTGTGCCATTAGGGGCCACCTGCTCCACACAGCACATCTGCAATCCCCGGGGCACCAGAGGAGCCTGGTTTCCCTGGAGAAGGACCTGCTGAGCTGACGCTGCAGGGACAGGAGGCAGGGAGGGCTTTTACTCTCGCAGGCTGCATCCTGCTGAAGGGGTCACGCACAAGTCCCACGTGGAGAGGACCCAGATCCTTGAGACTCAGCCCAGCCATCCATTCAGGCCAGGACATGGCACGTGAACTGGGGAGGCCAAGACATGTGTGGCAGGGACGCTGCCTGAAACCTGTCCCTGGAAGTGACAGCCCCTCCAGGCACCTCGGCAGCAGCCACGCGTGTCCCTAGAGCTGTGTGCTGCTCCTGGGGCACCAAGCCTGTGTCATCTGTCCCAAAACACCAGCTCCTGCTGCTCAGCTCACCCCTCTCCCGTGTGTTTCTGAATCAGCCCGTTCTGGGGAGCCAGGGAAAGCTCGGACACATGGAATGTGTGAGCAATCAGCTGCTGACGGTGACTTGGCAGCGCAGCACGGCTCCGAACCAAAATTAAAGCACAAGGGGATACAGAAACTTCCTTGTCAGCATCGGGAAGGTGAAAGGAAAGGCGAGGAGATGGATCACCTCTCCCTGCTACGTGTGAGCCTTTGGGAAGGATGAACCCACCCTGGGGCAAACACACTCTCAATTTCCTGCAGAGGCACAGCCAAACTCTTTCATAGGAATTCTCTCATTCCATTGCAATGCCTGGAGGGATTTTGCTGCACACACACACACACACACACACACACACACACACACACACACTCACACATACAGAGGCATCACGTTTGCATTTGGAAGCAATCCAAGGCTGGGAGATGCTGCCCAAAAGGGTGACTGGCTCCGGAACGGGCGCCTGGAACAGGTGGTTCGCACGGAAATTATCTGGCAGCTGCGACACGTGGCAGGCAGGAGATGATGAAATCACATTTAAAACCAGATTTTAGAAATAATCTCCTCCCTTTTATTTTTTCCCTAAACACGCCCTGCCAGGCAATATATTCCAGGCACACAGGGACAACACAATAGAGCTCTCAGAGATGCAATTTCCATGGCAGTGGTAGCGATCCCCCGTCCACTTCTTGCTCCCACCGCTCTCTCCCACCACGCACACAGAGCACAGCAGCTCGTGGGGGAAAGCCAGCCTTTATTTCAGTGCCTGCGTGGGTGCTGGCTGCTCTGGCAGCACCCAAAAAGTGGAGATGGCAGGCGTGAGGGAATGTGGCCCTGCGCTTGGAGGAACCTGGAGCCTCCACCACCGAGCTGGACCCCTGGCCAGACTTGCTGCTGGTGAAAACGGGGATCAGGATGGGCACAAAAGGATTCAGCAGTGGGAACCTCCCCGATCTCATGCACAGAACAGGGAGGAGCTGGTTGCCCTGTGCTGTGTGACTGGCACCGGGCCCTCAGCGTTCGCCCTGTCCCCAGCGCGCAGCCACGGTGCCACATGAGCTGGGCAGCGTGTGAGGGATGCTGACAAAAAGATGGAGCAGGATCAGAGCCTGGTGACGCACTCCGTCGGCTCTGTGGGCTCCCTTTCCATCCAGGCCATCCCATTTTCCTGCACTTCACCTCCCCACCCTGCCCCAACTCCTGCGGGAAAAATTTCCCCCGGGGAAGCCGAGCTCTGGAGGATTTCTGGAGAATTTCCCCAGCACGCAGGGACAGGTGGCAGCTGCGGCCGGGGCTGCTGGGCTGGCAGGAGCTGCCAAGCACGGCTCGGCCGTGGGCTCCTCCGCGCCTGCATGTGCCCGCTCCAGGCGGGCACGGGGCTGGGCAGCCACATCCCACCCGCCTGCCGCCCACAGCCGCGCCAGATCCAGCGGCATCCTCCGGATCGGAGCGGGAGGGAGCCGGGGAGGCATGGAGAGAGGGAGGGATGGAGAGAGGGAGGGATGGAGAGAGAGCGGGAGGCATGGAGAGAGAGGGATGGAGAGAGGGAGGGATGGGGAGAGGGAGGGATGGAGAGAGGGAGGGATGGAGAGAGGGAGGGAGGGATGGAGAGAGGGAGGGATGGAGCGGGGAGGGAGGGATGGAGAGAGGGAGGGATGGAGCGGGGAGGGAGGCATGGAGAGATGCAGCCTGGTTCTCTCGCACGTAGAGGCACACGCAGCACCGGCCACCCCGCCCGGAGAGCCCCGGGAGCGATGGGGTCACCTTCGGCGGGGGCCTGCGGCCAGTTTTAGCCGAAAGCCAGCAGGAAAAGCATCACCGGAGCGATGAGAAGCAGGAATGCCGCCCGGGCCGTGCGGCGAGAGCCACGCGAAGCCACGGCGGCACCCGCAGCCCCCGGGGGTGCGGGGAATGCAGGGGATGAGCGCGATGCGGGGGATGCGAGAGACGCGGGGATCCCCTCCCACCTCACCTTCTGCGGGGGGCTGCCCACCGTCATCTCCACGTAGTACCCCTGCCCGGACTTGCCGCGCAGGTTGTCGATCATCTCCAGGAAGCTGCCGGCGCTGTCGGGCTCGGCGCCCAGCGGCGCCCGGCGCTGCCGGAGCCCCGACGGCGGGGCCGCGCCGGCCCGCAGCGGCAGGCGGATGCGCGGCGGGGCCGGGAGGGCGCGCAGAGCCCCGAGCCACAGCAGCAGCCAGGGCCAGGCGGGCGCCATGGCCGCGGGGAGCCCTCGGGGGACGCGGTCAGCGGGCCCGCAGCGCCCCGCGCCTCGGCGGGGCGGCCGCGCCGGGGCGGGCGGGCGGCGCGGCGGCGGCGGGCATGGCGGCGCGCACGGACCCGCCCCGGAAAGCCCGCCCGCCGGCGGAAGCGCTCACCGAGAGACCCGCCCCAGCCCTGCCCGCTGCCGCCGGCCCTTTGCCGGTCTCCGTGCCCGTCCCCGCCGCGCTGCCCCGTCCCGGGACCCGCCGGGACCCGCCGGGCCGGGCCGGGATGTGCCGCGGGCGGCGCCCACGCGTCGCCATGGCAACCGCACCCCCGGCCGCCCCGCCGCCGTGACGTCATGCATCCCGCCTCCGCGGCGACCAATCGGCTGGCGCGCTTCGCCCCGCCGGCCAATGGCAGGGAGGGGGCGGGGCCCCGAGCAGCGGCCGCGGCGGGTCCCGCGCTCCCGGTAACGGCGGCGGCCGCGGGACGGTGAGCGGGGATGGGCAGGGCCCGCAGCGGAGAGACCGGACCGGGAGCGGGACCGGCACCGGGACCGGGACGGGGATGGGGATCTGGATCGGGATGGGGATGGGGAGGGCCCGCAGCGGAGAGACCGGCACCGGCACCGGGACCGGGACCGGGACGGGGATGGGGATCGGGATGGGGAGGGCCCGCAGCGGAGAGACCGGCACCGGCACCGGCACCGGGACCGGGGTGGGGATGGGGATCGGGATCGGGATGGGGAGGGCCCGCAGCGGAGAGACCGGCACCGGCACCGGGACCGGGGTGGGGATGGGGATCGGGATCGGGATGGGGAGGGCCCGCAGCGGAGAGACCGGCACCGGGATCGGGATCGGGATCGGGACCGGGATCGGGACCGGGATCGGGATGGGGATGGGGATGGGGATGGGGATGAGGATGAGGATGGGGATCGGGACCGGGACCGGGGTCAGGATCGGGACCGGGACCGGGACCGGGATCGGGGTCGGGATGGGGATGGGGATCGGGACCGGGATGGGGATCAGGACCGGGATGGGGACCGGGACCGGGACCGGGATGGGGATCGGGGCCGGGATCGGGGCCGGGGAGGGTCCCCTCGCTGAGCGGAGCCCGCGCGGAGCGGCCCCGCGCCCGGTGTTGTTCCGGCCTCCCGCCCCACGCGGGCTGTGGCGTGGGTGCTGCCGTGACAAGGGTGGAAATGGCGCTTTTTTTGGTTTTTTTTTGGTCTGTTTTTAAAATACCGTGTCAAGCAGAGCTGTTTGTGCTCCTTGCCAGCCGCGGTTTCTCCGGGGCTCCGGGCTGGCGTGGCGGCGGCTGCGCTGAGGATTCGGTTCTCTCTGCACAGAGCTATAGAACGTTTTTTTTGGGTTGGAACGGGCCTGGAAATCATCCAGTTCCTCCCCCATGCCATGGGCATGGGCTTTCCACTATCCCACCTTGCTCCAAGCCCCACATCCAACCTGGCCTTAAATACTGCCAGGGTTGGGCTGCCACAGCTTGTCCGGGCACCCTGTGCCAGGGTCTCACCACCCTCACAGATAAGAATTCCCTCCACAGATCTCGCCTAAATCCTCCTCTTTCACTTTAAAGCCGTTCCCCCTTTGCCCATCTATTCCAGCTGCCCCTCAAGCACTGGGAGGGCGCACTAAGGTCTCTCCAGATGTGGTGGGGCAGATTCTCCAAGAGAGGGGTGAGCCCTAATTCATCCCCCAGTGCCAACGCCAGGCGTGGGAGATGAGGCTGGGATAGTTTCGGGAGAGGAAAACAGGAACAGAAGGCCCCGAGCGAGTTGCCCACACCCAAATGCTCCAACTGGGGACATTTGGGAGGGGGAGCGGTGTGAGCTCCGTGGTGCTGGTGTGGTTTGGATCTCCTGAGAATGTCTTCACCTGGAAACTGCCAGGATTAGTTGCTGCTTCTGAGACTTAATTTACATAAGAGTAATAAATCCAGAGTGGGCTGAGGACACGGGGAGGTGAAGATGGCTGTGTCACAGGTGGTGATCCTGCTCTGGGGGTGCCTGGCGGGTACCACAACCCTCTGGGTCTCACGAGGAAAGCAGAGCAATGCTTTTTGCACTGAGAGTTTGGAGGGGTCAGGCTGAAATGTTTGACCTTGGCATTCAGTTGTGTGTTTAGCAGCAGTTGTGGTCCCCCAGTGCTTGTATTGGCCAAATGTGGCCACCCAGAGCCACAGCTGAGGATGTTTGGGGTGAGCTGGGTGAATTCCAGCTGCATGAACTGCTGCTGGATGGGTTTTCAGGGCCCAGCTATGCTTTGGGAAAGTCGCTTGCTTTCTCTTTCTTCCCTGTCTCATTTCAGCTTATTTTTTACCTGGTTTAGAAGTGCCTGAAACATCTGATTATAACTTTGCTCCACTTCAGCTCTGCTCTCTGTCCCCACAGCCCTTGGAAGTGTGTGGTGGCTCTTTTCTTTGCTTTTGCTGCGTGTGCTGCAGCAAGAAGGGCTCTGCCGTGAGCTGGGGGTGAGGAATTTCCTTTTCTGAGGGCAGTTGTGACTCTGTGCTGGTTCCTCCCCGCTGCCAGGTGTGGCACCCATGGCAGGAGCCGTGCGCATTGGGGACCAGCTCATCCTGGAGGAAGACTACAATGAATCCTACGTTCCTAAGGAGCAGGGTGAGTGAGGCCCGGCTTCCCAGGAGCTGGGAGAGGGGATCCAGGCATGCAGGTCACTTCTAGGAGTGCTCAGAAAACAGGGATTGCTTTCTGGAGTGGCTGGAGAGGGTAGAGCACACTGGATTTTAGCAGAGACAGAGCTGAATGTCACTTTGAGGTGGCACTGCCCTGTCCCCAGCCTGGCAGGGTGGGCTCTGCAGGCACACAGGACTTTGCTGCTGGCTTTGGGCTCAGGATGTGCCAGTGTGCCCACAGCTTTAGCAGAGGAGGGCGGCTCTGTTGGTTATACCAAGTTCACAGGTTCCTCTTCTGTTTCCCCAGAAATCCGGGATTTTGCGCCCACAATCGGGATTGACCCCGACAAGGAGTCAGAGCTGCTGTGGCTGGCCAGGGAGTGCCTGGTGACCCCGATGCCCCCGGAGTGGAAGGCCTGGTGAGAGCTCTGGCAGCTGTGCTGGGGCATTCCCAGGGACAGAACAAGGCTTCCAGCTGGCAGAGAATTGGGGTTGGCGGGGTATCAGGAGCTCAGGGCTTTTTGGCGAGGCAGAAGAAGGGGAAGAACTGCTTGGGAAGCTGGATGTGAGCATCCTGGGAGAGCTGCTTCCCTCACTGGTACATTTGTGGCCTCCTGGAGACATTTATCCATCCTTCCCAACAATCACACTCCTCTTCCCTGGGTTCAGGTGCTCTCACCGTCAGCAGAGATGTTCTGGCTGTGTTTTTAACGTGCTCTTTCACCTTTCCCTGCTGTTTTTGCCGTGCAGCCAAGATATTGCGGGTGGTGACATCTATTTCTTCAACTTTGAGAGTGGCCTCTCCTCGTGGGAGCACCCCTGTGATGAGCACTACAAGCAGCTGGTCATCCAGGAGAGGGAGAAGCTGCTGGCACGGGGCAGCTTGAAGAAGGAGAAGAAGGAGAAAAAAGAGAAGAAGGACAAGAAGGAGAAGAAGGAGAAGAAGGAGAAGAAAGAGAAGAAGAAGGACAAGAAGGAGAAGCAGCTCCTGAGGCAACTCCCTGTGAGTAGGCTGTGCCTGCAGTGCTCTGGGGAGGGCTGGGCAGAGCATGACAAGTGTCTTTGGGACACAAAGTGCCTTGTGACCCCAGCCCCGGGTGATGGGCAGTGAGTCAGCTGGGCTGGAGCACTGAGTACAGAACCAGCTTTAATTTTGGCTGTAAGATGCTCTGTAGTAAACACACACTCGTGGTGTGTCTGGGAGGGAGAGGAGGATGCAGGACCCGCTCAGATGGGTGTGTGAGTGAACCCAGCCCTGTCCCGTGTGCTGGTGCCTGCTGGGTGTGGGGTGTGAGCAGGGCTGGTCCTGCAGCCCCTGTTTGCCCAGGGGAGCTCCTTGTCCCGTTCCAAGGTCAGGAGAGTGAGCTGCACGCCTGTGCTGTCCTGCCAGTGACTGCCCTGTGCTTCTGCAGCCCCCAGGCTCCCAGCTGGCGCCCATCCAGCCTGTCCTGGGCACCCTCTCTCCTCTCCGGGGCCTCACCCCATCGTCATCCATCGCCCGCCGTGGGTCCCTGGGCCTGGAGCTGGGGAACGTGCTGGACTCCAGCCTCGTCCCCAGGGAAGGAACGCTGGTGAGGCTCCTTCACACTGCTCAGGGTCACTCAACTGACAGGATCTGTGATCTTCTGTCAGTTCCGAAATGCTGCTCTATGTTAAAAAAATGTATTTCTCTTCTTCTTCTATTTCTAGTGCTAAATTAGCAGTGAGCTCTCTTCTGCTATGTTTGCTAGATTGAAAGAATTGTTTCAATAACTACTGAAGAGGAAAAAAAGTGTGTTAAATTTCAGTAGAATTTGATGTCCAAATGAAGCATGACAAGCAATGCAGATAATACAATTTAATAAATTATTTTCACTCTTCTATTTGAGAATAAAATTTAAAAAAACCTATTGTCCCGATGAGTGTAAGGTTTACAGCCATGTTGAATTCCTTGTTTATTACTAGAAAGTGTCCTGGGGAGTCAATAGCATATGTTAAATGGTAAGAAATTGACCCTTCAAAGGAAGGCAAGTTAAAATATTTGCAAAACATAGACATAAAGACTTTAAAAATAAACAAATAAGTTAAGTGGTAGGAAACTGACCTCCCTGCCAGCAGCTCAGTGTCTCAGTGGGTCTCTCTCCCCTTTCTCCTGGCCCTCGCAGCCTGCAGAGCTCCCAAAGCCCAGCGGCCACACCAAGAACCTGCTGGATTTGATCTCTGAAGAGAAAAGTTCCTTGAGCGTGGCAGTGCCAGAGAAGTGGAGAAGTGAAGAGGAAGAAAGTGAAAATGAGGTATTGCTGTGCCCTGGCTGTTGCTGTAAAGTGCTGAAGCCTCCTGGTGCTCCCCTGGTAATGGCTGTTCCATTTGCCCCTGGGCTTTGATTTGTGCTCTCTTTTCTTTGTGCTGCTTGTTCCCCAAAAACATCTGATCCTGTTTTCACATGGTGATCCCTATGAGTGGCATCTGCCATGGTGTCATTCCAAGGTGCATTGCCATGGCTCTGTTGCCTAATTTCACTGCTGAGGAACCCCTCCCGTGGCATTGCTCAGGTCAGAACTCAATTTTGACCATTTCTCTCTCTTTTTTTTTAATCCTTCAGAGTTTCCATGGGACCTCTAGGCTGTTAAAAAATGTGTACCTGGATGTTGAAGCCCTGGCAGGCAGCTTTGACTTTGAGGTAAGACCACGGTGATGGGTGGGCAGGGGAGGCTGCCCAGGTGGCAGAGGCACTGCCAGGGGGTGAGAGTGCAGGAATGGTGCCAGAGGGACGAGTTTCCTTTGTCACACAGGAGCAGCAACAACCTGGAGCAGGTGATGGAGAGGAAGGCACAGCAGCAGGGCTGGGGGCTGTGAGAAGCCAGGGGTGGCCCACAGGGGACAGTGGGGTGGGGGCTGAACGAAGTTTGTGCTTGGAGTGGTTGTGGTTTGGTAGCTGGGACTTGAGGAGACATCTTTGCACAGGCTGGAGCTCTGCTTCATCCTCAAACAGGATAAATAAAGGCAGGTGGGTGGAGAGGGCAAGGGGGAAATCTGTTTTTCCAGGGAGCAGCAGGAAAAGGCTCTCGGGTTGGAGGTGCCACTGCGCTTGGTGTGGGGGAAGGCTTGATGAGGAAGAGGCACTTCCATTCTGCTCTCTGTTTGTCAGGGGGTGGGGAGGAAGGCTCCTTGCCTGCTGAAGCTGCAGTGCTGGCACTGGGGAGGGAGAGGGGAACGTCCTGTGGGATGTTTGGTGCTGTCACTCGGTTCCTCGGGGATCCTCATGCGGGCTGCAACACAAAACCTGCTGTTCTTTCTTCTCCCCTGCTGGTGAATCCCGTGGCTGAGGCACAGAGCCTGCAGTGCACCCAAGGCCTTGTGCAGAGGCTGTGCTTTCCCTGAGCTTCCTTAGCCGGGATCAGGCTTAAGATGACAAGGGCACAAAGGGAAGTGCGTTGTAAGCAGCTCTGGTGATTTGGCCCGACTGTTTGTGCTGACATTAATCCTTTCTCACCGCTTTGAAAATCCTGTTCCAGTATCTGAAAGGCAAATTAATTTCTTTTAAAGTGTTTTAGAGTATTTTCCTTATCCTTTTCAGAGCACAGGAAAATTAAGCTGTAAAGTACTTTGCTGGAGAACCTATTCACAGTGCTGGGCAGGATCTGCAAAGGCTTATGCTAAAGTGGATGTGACAAAGAGAGCCCTGACTCTCATCTCCAGACAGCCAGCAGCCGTGGGGCCGATTCCTCACTGAAATGTTAATGTCTGCAGGAACAAAGAGCTGTCTTGGCATTTCAGTGCCCTGGGATGGGGCTTTGGGAATCTATTGTGGAATGGGATTGCTGCCCAGCAGCCAGGCTGCTAACCCAGATGGGTGACAGCCTAGGCCTGATAAGACAGCAGTGCCCCGACTGGAAAAGAGAATTCTTTGGTAGTTCCATGAGATGGCAGTAGAAAAGCATTCCTGGGAGTGAGCCTCAGCCTGCTCCCGAGCAGACTAGGGTTTGTGTAGCAAGTCCTAAGGGGGAAAGCTGAGCAGTAATGGGTGAAGTCATGAAAAAACTGGCTTCATGCAGCCCTGGTCAGGGCTGGATGTCTGTATTCGAAGGAAATAGGAGGTTTTAGTGACTTTCTGAGCCAGGATGTTGGGTGGAGCGGAGGCAGCATCAGACACGGCTCGCAGGGAACGCGGAGCTGGGCAGAGTCTGCAGGAACTGGGAGTTCCTGGAGCTGGCCAGCAGGAAAAGCAGCAGTGAAGCATCCCACAGGTTGATGTTTGGGGATCTGGGCCCGTGAGCTCCCAGGAAAGCTGTGCAGCTGGAGAGATTTCTGCTCTAGGGCTGCCCGTGGTGGGTGGCAATGTTGGACGAGTCCTCCAGCTCGGGAAGGTGCTGTGGGGAATTCTGCAAGTGGCTGTGTCCCCCCACTAGGAGAACAGCAAGGAGGAGCAGGAGGAGCGTGGCAGCCCATCAGCTGGTGCTGCTGAAGCTGCTGGTGCTGCTCCCCAGCCCCACAGGAGCCCTGAGGAGGAAGCTGCCAGCCTGGGAGAGGTGACAGTGGCTCCCTGGCATCCCTGTCCTGCTTGCACGGTGCCACCCAAGCTTTGCATGCAGTAGGCAGCTCCTGGTGCTGTGCTGTGTGTCTGCAGCTGCTTGGCTTGTTTCTGTTGTTGGCTGAAGTTTAGTGCTGACCACTGGAAGGAATTTCCCATCAGTTCGTGCCACTCAGGGTGGGTAGAGTGCTACAGCTTGTGAAAGGATCACCCAAAGCCAGTTATAGCCCAAGTGACTTGTGTAGCTCTGAAATCCACGGAAAATCTCCAGGCTGTTGTTGCAGGAGGAAAAACCTCCCTCCTCCTCCTCCTGTGTGTCTGACTGGCACGGGTCTTTCTGCAGAGTTCATTTGTGACCATCAAGGTGTGAGGCTAACAAAAGGTTTGCCTGTTATTGCCATTAAATAGGATTCTGCCAGCCCAGGAGATTATTCTGGGATATTTTAGCAGCTGAGGTGAACTTGCCTGGAGAGAAATCCTTTTGTGTGCACGCCACTGCTGGGTACTGATACATTTTGGAGTGTGTGTGATCCTGTGTTCAAGCATCAGAACCTTGCTTGGCCTCATCTGGGATTTCCTGGGCACTGCCAGGTCTCCTGGTGAGATGTCCTCAGGAGAGCTCTGAAGCAAGTTGTCCGAAAGGAGCATAACTTTCCAGCCACTAATCCCACAAAAGGGGAAGCACGAGGGTGGCTAAAGAGCTTCCCTGTGCCCACCTTGCTCTGGGTCCTGGTGCCCCCAAGGAGCCTCGTGTGGGTTTTTGGTGGCTCTGGGAGCCTCTGCTGGGCAGGACCTGTGAGCTGTCAGTACCAGGGGATTGCAGGTGAAGCCCAGAGCTGCAGGAGTTTTGGGAAGTGCCTGGAGTGGGACTCCTGTGTCCTGTCCCTCCCCGGGGAGGTGTGGCAGAGCAGTGACACACTCGGAACGTGCTCCCGGAGCGCTGACAGTGTTCCAGAGGCACTCTGATAAAAATACACCGCTAAAATATGCGCTCAGTGTACAGAACACGCCGTGCACAGGATGCAGGGAATGTTTGACAAGACACCGTGGCATTAATAAAACAGTGAGGAAGTGGGACGTGCGAGCAGCTCTGTTTGCATGCTGATGAGGAACCTTCTCCTGGCTCTTCCCCTCTCCACGGGCAGTGCTGTGGCGTCCCCACTGCGGGAGAGGCAGTGGAACCTTTGGGTGACTAAGCTTTAATTCGGGGTTGTTTTTTGCCCCGTCTCTCAGCCTCCTGTGTTAGTCACGGGCTCTTCCTGAGCTCCGAGTGGTGCCTTCAGTCAGTGCCCACCCTCCAGTCTGTCCCTCTGGAGGGTGGGATGGTGATCCTGCCTGATCTCCTCTGCTTGAAACGCCAGGCAGAAGTGAAATGTCCTGTCATGGTCTCCTGCAAATGTCCATCTCTCACCAAACAGACCCAATGTGGAAGCAGAAGTGGGCCTGCAGTGGGGCACTGCAGGGGTTGGTGGCCTTGCACAGCCACTCTGATCCACTGAGACCCTGTGAACAGAAAAAGCAACAGATCAAAAAAAGTCAGAGCCCAAGAAATGAATGAGATAATGTCAGTGGAGTCCCTGGCCTTGGAACGGGACTGTGTGAAAAGAAGTCAAGCAGGTCTTGAAGTCACCCAAAGATTTGTGATTTTGCTGCTTGCTGTAGGAGAGCCTGTGCTGTTCCTGACTCCTGCATCCCACAGAGAGAATATTGGGTCTGTAATTGTGTCTGCCTTGCTGCCTAGAAGGAATCTCTAAAGTCGAGACATCCTGAAGAAGTGGCAGAGTCTTCCCTGGACTCCGGAGCCGCGTGCCCCCCGTCTCCGGTCCGGCTCCTCTCCAGGGACGCTGCCAGCAGCCTGTCTGCCCCGAACGGGGAGCAGAAGCCTGCTGGCGATGCAGCAGCGCCCAGGGAAGATGCTGAGGTGGAAGGAGACGCCTCTGGAGCTGAGGAGCTGCCTCAGTCCGAGGGGGAGAGGAGCGCGGCAGGGCTGGATGTGCCCGGCTCTGCCGGACAGCCCCGAGCCGCCCCTCCGGCCACACCAGGGGCTGGGGTGGATCAGCTGGCCAGCCTGGCTGCCACTGCTGCCACCCTGTCCTGTGCAGAAAAGGGGCTGGATGAAGAGAAGGAAGGAGCAGCAGCTGATTCAATATCAGAGGACAGGCTGGACGATGGCACAGTAAGAGACCTGCCTTTGTGGTTTTGGTGTTGGCTGTTCCCACCGTCTTGTCAGGCCCTGGCTCGGGAAAGCGCTTGGAGCACTCCCTGGTTTCCTGTGAAGCCAGTCCAAATGCTTTCCTGGTCAGCAGGGCAGTCATTCCTGGGGAGCACGAGTGCTCTGAATTCCCAGATGGGCATCTTCAGGACTGAGCTGGGCAGTCATTCCCTCCTGGGCACCCCGAGTGCTGCCCAAAGCCGCTCGGCAAAGCCTGGGCTGGGGCTGGCAGGAGGAGCAGTCGGGGTTGGTGATGCAGCTCACGCCGAGCCCAGCTGTCCGTGCTGCTTTGTTCTCTCCTTCTGTTGTTTCTCTCAGCTTGCCCAGAGCCGCCTTCACAGCCCTGCCGAGGTGTGAGCTCGGAGTGGGGCAGGACGGAGCCTGGGGCTGGAGCTGGGGCTGGAGCTGGGGCTGGAGCTGGAGCACAGAGCCTTCCAGCCCTCCCAGTGTGGGAGCAGAATGGCCAGGCTGCAGGACTGGGGTCTGGGCTATGGCACACGCTGCCTGCCCGCAGCTGGGCCGCCAGACTCGTGTCCGCACTCCAGAGTGGGATCCGGGCAGAGCTCGGGGTCTGATGGACGATCTCTCTCCGCTCTGGCTGCTTCCTGCTGATTTTGATCATTTCTCAAGTTCGCTGATGCGCAATGTCTGTAAGAAATGACAAACTACAAACCCGAGCCTGGGAAACACGCTGTGAGCTGCGGGTGCTGCTTTCCCAAACCCACCCGTGTGCTTTGTGTGCTCCCACCTGAGTTGTGCCACTGAAGTCAGCAGGGCCACAGGAGGTTCCCACCTAGCAGTCCCCTGCAGCTGGGAGAGAGGAGCCCTGGCTGCACTTAGGCACAGCAAAGCTGAATTTTAAAGTGTTTTTGTGGCTCCAGTGCTGTGCTGTGGGGTGGGCTGGGAGCTCTGAGAGCTGCAGAGATCCGTGCAGATGGAGAGGAAGCAAGTGCCTTCTATCAGGGATGTTTGCAGAGCACTTTGCCCTCCCCAGCCCCACCTCCTGCCCTTGTGGTGTTTTGTGCTTGTCCCGTGGGTCACACATCCTTGGTGGCTTCCCCATGGCGTTCAGTCACCTTTCCTTCCCTGGGAGAGGCCAGACTCGTGCTGCCAGCAGCACTGCCGTGCTGGCAGTGCCCAGGTGAAGCTGCAGGGGCAGGACACGTGCAGGCTGTAATGTGTTTTTCCTCTCAGCTTTCAAAGGCGTCCGGGGGCAGCGGCTGTGAGCAGGACCTGCCTGTCTCCAAGTGCTCCGACCATGAGGTGGTTCAGCCTGTGGTGAGTCACCAAAAGCTCCTTTTCCCTGGCTGTGGGCTCCAGTGCAGTGCCCACCTCTCCCAGCTGTGTGTGGCACAGGCCAGCAGTGCCACCCTGCACCTCGCAGGCTGGGCTGTGGGTGAGGCAGTATCCCTGGAAAAGTAGGTCACGCAGAGCTGAGAGCGTACTTGGCTAATTGCAAAAAGGAAAATAATAAGCAATGTAAGAGCTGTGCTTTAGGGGCTCAGCAGCTTTTGCTGGGGTGGGGGTGTGTGGATGGAGACCCCACTCTGGAGGGTCCCTGCAGCAGAGCAGCCCTGGGCTGGGGGGAGATGCCCATCAGCATCTCTTCATCTCCACAGGAAGCTGCCATTGCCATCTGCCAGTGGGAGCAGAGGCAGCGTGGCCAGCAAATGGCTGAGAATGTCATTATTTCCTCTTTATACAAACCTGTGCCCAGGGGCTCTGCCTCGTGTGTGCAGGGCTGCAGGAGCAGGGGTTGACTCGAGGGGGGAATGGCTCGTGGGGGCTGGCTGTGAGGACAGGAATCCCTGGAAATGTGCAGCAGCGTCACAAAGGGGAGCAGGAGAGGCTGGGGAGATGTGCCCCCTTTGGTGTTCCTTGTGCCACCCTCGCCTGCTAAGGCTGGTGGCCTGGGAGGGGGTCTGGGAGTGTGGCAGTGGCCGCCCTGGGTGGCACTGGTGTCCCTTGGTGCCACAGGGAGGGGACATGCTGCTGAGCTGCTGGCAGTGGGGTGCTGAGGGGGGCTCCGAGCTGTGCAGGGATATTGGTCTCAGCATCTCTGGCTGCTCAGCAGAGACTGATTCTTTCTGCTTTCTCTTTTAGCACTTGGATTTGAAGAGCCAGCTCTCCGAGGAGCTTCTGGGTGCAGGGACTGTGTCTGCTGCTTTGGACAGCCCCCAGTGCCAGGTCAGTGCTGTGGGGGGGTCAGGGCTGCTCTGAGCAGGCAGCTGGAATCCTGAGGTGATACTCTCAGCGAAGGGGTGAGCAGGGCTTGGTGTGTGGAGTGTCAGGGGTCACGGCAGCACCACCAGTGCATTGTTTTTCCTGCAGAGAGGAGGTGCAGGTGGCTGCACAGGGAACATAAACCCTGAGCAGAGGTGGCTGCAGGGGTGTACACAGCCAGGCTCCCCTGGGTGCTCTCCCTGCCCCAATAAATGGCTTTCCTGGGGCATGGAGGAAGCAGAGTCTGTTTTCCTTTCTTCTTTTGTGAGTGTATTTGTCCTTTTCTTTCTCTTAAGCAGATGGGAAGGATTTGTGTGGCAGAACACGATAGAATCAATGGGAAGAAAAGGAGGTTAACTCCCTCTGACAGATTTTGGTAGAGGGAAGCTTATTTTTAAGCATTTGGTCTCCTTGCCTGCTTTTATGTAGGGGGGAAAGGGGCTCCTTTCAGTGAGTCTGTGGCACATGGGGTGTGCGTGGTGTGCACATGTCTGTGTCAGCCTGGCACGCAGCACTGGTCAGGCAGCTCTGCCTGGGGATTGCTGTGCATCTCTGGTTTATCCTTGTCCTCTCAGCATGGCTCTGAGTTGGTTTGCCCAGCCCCACGTTCCTCTGGAGCCCTCCCACTCCATCTCTGTGGTTGGAGGCAGGGTCCAGGATCCAGCTGGGGTTACTCAGCCTTGCCCTGATCGTGAGCGCATCAGCTGCTCTGGAGGAGAGACCCGAGTGGCAAACTCCCCACCTGTCCAGCAGAGAGGAGCAATCCTGTCTGCAAGGTTGTGTCTGGAGAATACACCTGTCCTCTTGTGCCTAATAATGAGCATAATCAGATGTGAAGGGAAAACAAAACATATGCCTGCTGTGCTCCCCCTCTCCCTCCCCGCAGCGCAGGCACTGTGCATGCAAATGCTGCTTGGAGCAGCCACGGTTGGGTTTATTACAGCGCTGTTTGGGGAGAGGTGGGTGTGAAATGGTGCTCCCCGCAGAACTGCAGCTGCTCTTTTGTGTCTGTGCACAGAGGCTGGGCTGGAACGGCTCGGGGTTGTAGGAATGTGCCTGCTTCCGTGTGAGGAGCTTGCCTTGCTTCCAATGCATTGGCAAAATATTCTGTTGTTCCAAAAAAAAAAAAAAAAAAGAAAATAAAAGACACCTCTGGCAGCTCTGTGAGCACAGAATCGGAAGGGTTTTGTTGGTGTGTTTTGGCAGGAGCTGTGGTGGCTGCAGAGGCTGTGTGGGATGTGTCCTGCTGGACCTGGGAGAGGGGAGGCTGCTCCTTCCTTTCCTTTTCCCTTTTCCCTTTTCCCTTTTCCCCTTTCCCTTTCCCTTTCCCTTTTCCCTTTCCCTTTCCCTTTCCCTTTCCCTTTCCCTTTCCCTTTCCCTTTCCCTTCCCATTTCCCTTTTCCCTTTCCCTTTCCTTTCCCCTTTCCCCTTTCCCTTTTCCCTTTTCCCTTTTCCTTTCCCTTTCCCTTTCCCTTTTCCCTTTTCCCTTTTCCCTTTTCCCTTTTCCCTTTTCCCTTTTCCCTTTCCCTTTCCCCTTTCCCTTCCCTTTTCCAGATGCAGAGCTGTGGAACCACAGAATGTCCCGAGCTGGAGGGAACCCACAAACACCATCAAAGTCTAACTCCTGGCCTCACAGAGACACCCCCAAATCCCACCCCGTGCCCTGGCAGCCTCGGGGCTGTGAGCATTCCCTGGGGAGCCTGGGCAGTGCCCGGCCCTCAGGAAAAGGCAGAGCTGTCCCAAGTGCTCAGGGCTGGCACCTTGCAGCGTGATCTGAGCTGATGTGAGACGTCCCCTGGGATCTGGGCTCTGCAGAGGGAGGAGGTGGCCCATGATCTGTCATCCCCGTGTTCACAGCTGGTTCTGTGCCTTGAGCATGTGAGGTGTCCTGAGGGATGCAGCTGGGCAGAAAGCCGAGGAGGGGCAAGGATCTGATTGTTCCACACACAGTCTGCCCTGGTTCCCTGCAGACAGGGGCTGTGTTCACCTTCCCAGCGTGTCCAGAGGTTCCTGCAGCCTCGGGAGGGGCTGTCCTGCCTGGCACAGGGCAGCAGGAGCCCTGTGAGACAGACTGAGAGCACTCACCCTCTTTCCAGGAGATCTCCTTCCCCATTTGTCTGCTCCTCCCCGCTCCCACTGCGGTGACAGAGCCCATTGGGAGCGAGGAAACGTTTGCTGAGCTCCTCGGTTCTGGGGAATTGGAGTCATCAGTTATGGGGCAGGAGGGGCTGGGGGCTCTGCCAGGCTGATGTGATGGGAGGTGACAGCCCTTGCAGGGAATCCTTCTGCCATTTGCACTGCTGGGCGTTTGCATTAATTACTGCGGCGTTAATTCCACGCACAGCCCTGCGTGGCAGGGGCTGAGCTCACCTGCTGGTGTCCCCAAAAACTTATGAATGGGCCCCTCCCTGCTTCCCGTGGGGCTGACAGGTGAGGAGGGAAATCCTGCCCCTCCTCAGGTGTCCCTGCTGCAGGGACAGGGATCTGGGAGGTGGCAGGAGGGGCACGGAGCACCTGACTGTTTCACATTCAGATATTTTCTATTCATATTTCTGGTACTTGCTGTGCCATAAACAAGCCAGCTGAATGCTCGGTGTGCTGCCAAGGGGCTGGATTGCTGATGTAGCCTGGAGTCAGAAATCCCTGGGCTGGTGGCTCTGTGCAGCCCATCACACCCTGCCCTAGAACCTGGATGGGAGTCCTGCTGTGGATTTTGGTGCCAGACAATGCATCCTTTGCTTCATTGCCACAGCACTTGGGGTGTGTGACATTTCTCTTTCAGGAGATGTCTCTCCCATGCTTTCCAGGGAGTTCAGTGGGACTTGGGATTGTAAAATGACCTTCAGGGAAGAAAGGTCAAACCCGTGTCCCAAGTCCTTAGTGCTGGCAGGGAGTTTATATTTTATCCTGAGAAAGCTGAGCTCCCAGACCTCCCCTCGTGCTTCTGGGAGGGTTGGAGACCCTTGGATACCCTCAGGAGAGGAGCCTGGCACATCCAACATTCTGGAACAGCCTATGGGTGCTGTGTGGCCCAGCTGATTCCATGGGCCTTCAGCAGAACTCCTGTTGAGGGAGCCACAAACTGCACCCTGTTTGCTTTTACCTGCAGGCCCAGGAGCTGGGAGCAGAGGAAAAAGACCAAAGCAAAGCCAGCGTGGAGGAAGAGCCAAGCAAAAGAACAGAAGCTGCTGAGAGGTACGGTACAAACAGAGGCACAAGGGAGGCGTGGGCAGCTCCAGCTCCTGCTGCCTCTCCTGCCTTGCCCTCCCTGCTGTGCTCACTGCAGCTCCCCCAGGTGCTGCAGCCTCTCTCAGGGGCTTTCCCACGGAACCTCTGGCTTCTCCTGCTGCTCCTTCACCCTGTCTGCAGCTTCAGCTTCTGGCTGGGTGGGCAGTGCAAGTGCCAGCCTGTCCTGTCCCTGGGGCTGCCCCCGCTGTGCCTCTGCTCCCTGCCTCCCTCGCAGCTCCCGCTGCTCTTGCCAGGATGGTCTGAGCCTGGTGATGCTGTGTGCTCGCCCTGGGCTGTTAAACAGGGCAGGTGTGGCCACTGGCCATTGCCTGGTGACAGCCTTACTGGTCCTGCTGGGCTGGGCCTGTGGCTAAAGGCTCTCAGGCTCTGTTCCTGGTGCCAGGTGAGTGCAGCTGTGATGGGAACAGTTCCCTTCCTTCCACAGGGGTGGCCCTGCCCGGGTGTGAGCATTAAGCTGTTTTCTGTCCTGGTCATGCTGCCTTCCAGACCCCGTTACCACAGGGCCTGGGCTGTCCAGGGGAGCTGTTTTCAGCCTCTCTGTGGGGATTTGTTTGGAACAGTTGGAATGCTGTTCTGAGCAGTGAGCTCTGTGCTCCCTCGAGCTCCTCCTCCTCGGAGAGCCCCGGGCTGGCATTTACAGATGAGTCGTGTCAGAGCTCTTGGCCTCCACGCAGAGTTACACGTTCTCCAGGGCACTGGGAACCAAGGAGCTGCTGCCCATGCCAGGAAAATTCGTGAGCAGAAGCTGCAGTCCATCTTAATGACTGGCTTTGTGGGATTTGCAGCCTTGCTCTTGGAGGAGCTGTTTGTGTGAGGGTCTCCAAAAACGTGTTCTGCCCGCAGGAATTGTCTCCTTATCACTTGGCTCCTGCTTCCCAGCTGAGCATCCTCTCTTTCTGTCTGCCTGTGAAGCTGCTCGTGCTTGCCTTGTCTCTCCTCTCTGTGCTTCTGAGATGAAGTAGGACTGTAGATACAAGCATGCCTGCCAACACTTCCATCTGTAATTTGGACAGCAGTGTGAGTATGGCTGACAGGGCTGGCGCACCTTGGGGACGCTCTCCAAGGGCCTGCAGAGAGTGGGATAACCCAGGGAAGGGATCCAGCGCCCTGAGGCTGATGTCCATGATCTCCTCAGCTGCCTGTCAGTCCCACACGAGGTGCTGGGGATGGTGTGGAGCTCCCTTGTGGCGCTGGCAGCCCCGTGTTGGCCAGGCAGGTCCTGTTGGCAGGCATGGCTTGGTGCCCACCTGTGTCACCTGCACGTCCTTGTCCACCTGCAGCAGCCGCTTGACTCTGACCTGAGCTAATCTGATCTTCTGTGCCCTCTTTTGTGCCGCCAAGTGAGAGGGATCTCAGTGCCTGTGAGGCCCCGGTGGAGCGGTCGGGGTTAGAAAATCCCGGCGGGGCGGAGGATGGAGCCCTGGATAGCCTGGCGGATCCCCAGGAGCTGCCTGCCCCACAGAACGTGTAAGGGCTTCCTGCCAGTCCCTGCTGCTGTGGCTGGGGCAGCTTTTGTCCCTCTGTGCCCCGTGGTGGCCGGAGCTGGCGTGCCAGGCGGGCACAGCACGCTCCAGAGCTCGGGGTGCCAAGGGAACAGCCTGTGCTGGGCAGGGCGAGGGCAGCAGCTCAGCCTCAGGGCTGTGGCTCAGCACTCCCTGGGATGAGGGAGAGCTGTTTGCTTTGTTTTTGGGAAAGCCTTCCCCGTGCTGGTGCCACCGTGAGCGTTCTCCCTCCCCGAGAACCTTCCACACAGAACCTGCTGAGCGGGGCTGAGCTGGGGGCACAGGCAGAACCCCAACAATTCACCCCGTTTCACAGCCACTGGGCACGCTGGTGGCGTTGGAATGATAAGGTCAGAGCCCAGCTCCTGTGCTGAGGGCTCCAGGGGTGGTGGTGGTGGGTTTTTGCCTGCAGCTCCCCGTGCTGACTTCGCATTCCCTGCCAAGTGACACATCAGCAGATGCAGCTGGAGAAATGAGGCAGCGTGTCCCTGGGGACAGGGTGGTGGGCAGGGAATCTCTGTGCTCCTGGAAGTGTGGTGCTGTGTAAACGTGTGTGTGTGCTGCCTGGCTCTCCTTCTGAGCAGAAACTGGGGCAAAAGGAGCAGCCACTAACCAGGTGGAAGTGGCTGAACTGCTCTGCAGAGCAGCCTGATAAAGGACAGCCTGCTGCAGGTGGTGTAAGGCGGGCACCAGTGAAGGGGGATTGTTCCAGAACCCCACCACCTTCCTCTGTCTTGCTCTTTCTGCTAATGGCTGCAGAAATGACCTTTTCTCTCCTGACTCGAGGCTGAAGAACTGGGGCTGTTATTTCCCTGATTCCTGGCAGAAGTCCCTCTGCCTTGCACTGCCAGTCTCACAGCATGGTGACACCTTCCTGCTCCAGCCTTCACTAGCAGAGAACAAAAATCTTTCTTCCTAGACTAATCTCAATTTTCCCCTCCTTTCCCTTTAGCTTCCCTCAGACCTTATACATTTGAAAAAAAAAAACTTAATTAGAACCAGATTGGGTTTGAATTTTTGGAGTGCTGAGGGCTTTCTGTTGCCTGCAGCTGGCAAATTCCCAGCACAGTTTAGGCTGCAATCGCAGAAAAATACCTGGTCCATGAGAAGCACCAATCCCTAGGCTGGGAGCAGGTACTGATGGCATCTGCTCCTGTGCCTGGCAGCCTGGCCAGGGCTTTCCATCAAGTGAGATTTTAGTGACCTCACAAGGTGAGCTCTGGTGGGCCAAAATTGGAGTTATTTAGGCCTGGAGTGCAGCTGGGGCTGGGTTCAGTTTATCAGCTGGAGGTTCTCTGGGAGTCACCAAGAGGATCCCCCTGAGGTCAGCAGTGAAGCTTTTGGACTAGGTGGCTCTGAGATTTTTGGTTTGGAGTTGATGCTCTCTGGAGGAGGTTGCTGTTCCTTTTGTGTTTCTCTGTTTTCTGTCACCCTTTTGCCAAAGGAATTATTTGTCTTTGGTAGGCAACCTGAGAAGGAAATGGAGCAGTCCTTGAGCCAGCCTCAGGATGAATCCCTGGAGGAAATAGTCAAGGAGGTGGAGACAGAGCTGGAGCAAGAGGAAATACATTTATTTCAAGCAAAGGAGGAGAAAACCCAGCAATTCCAGGAGGAGATGAGGCAGGAGGAGGAGGAGGAGGAGGAAGCTGAAAAGCTTCATCAGCACAAAGAAAAGCCCCTCAGGTACTTTCCTTTTTTACTCCATCTCCTGCAAGGTGGGATTTCACTGCTGCTGGCCAAACTCATGCTGCTGTGGCCACCACGTGGGAAATGGTGCTGCTGTGCAGAGCTGGGGGAAGGAGCAGCACCAGGGCTCTCAGGGAGGAGGAGGAGGAGGAGGAAGGGCAGGCTTTGGCACAGTTCTGTGTGTGTGGATCTGCAAGCCCAGTGCCCCAGCAGAGCTCAGGAAAGGGCTGTGCCCCCTGGCAGGAGTGGCAGGAGGGCATCCTGCTGGGTGAGCTGTGATCCCACACTCATACAGAGCTGTGGGTTATGGACAACCTGGGAGGAGTTTCCAGCTCAGTGCTTGGAGCTCTCCCACCTGGCAGCTGTTCAGATCCTGGGCTAAATGGTGGCAACAGGACTGGAAATGGGAGCATTAGAGGAGATGAGGCTGCCCCAGAGGAGCTGTCTGGAGTTCTGATAGGGGATGTCTTACACAGGAACTTCCAGACAAGGCTTCTAGCAATAGGGCAGGGATGGCTGTGGGAAAGCAGGATCTGAGAGCAGTGCAGGGGTGGGACAGCACTGGGAGCTGTGTCCTTTCCCTGGGGGAGTTTTTCTCTTGAGGCTTCTGTATTATCTTGCTGGACTGGATGTTTATGTTCCGAGCAGCCAGAAGCAGCATCTTGACATGAGACATCACGGGGATGCAGTCTGGGTGTGAAGGAAGATGCAAAAATGGCACCTGAAGGGAAAAAAAAAAGTGTAGCAAAAGGTATAATATGGAAATACAGAGCTTCCAGATGAGATAATGCATCCAGGTACCTTGCCTGGGAGCCTGCATCCATTTAATGAGAGTGGATTGCACTTACCTGCAATAACAAAATTAAAAAAAAACCCAAATGAAGTGTAAACTGTGATGATATAGCAAGTTTTAAACCCACACTGCCCATGTTTGATGCTGGGGCTGCATCTCCCATGCCAGCAGCAGGTCCTGCAGGTGTTGGGGGAAATGAATGTGTCAGCACAGTGAGATCCCCAGCTGAGCTGAGCCCCTTGGAGAGGGGACTGGGAGATATTGAAGCCTCCTGAACCTATTTTCTTCCTTTTTATTTTCTGTCTCAGCGCTCCAGAAGAAGATTTAGCAAAATCTGAGCAGGAAGAGGAAGAGTTGCTTCTCAGAGAGGAAAAAGCCAAGAGACTGGAAAAGCTGCGAGCCCAAATGGCAGCAGAGATGGAGGCAGAGGAGGAGAGGATGAGGTGAGGGGTGCTGCTGCCATTCCCGGGGATGTGCAGTGCTGGTTTGGGAGGGAAGGGTCGGGCACATCCCCAGCAGCTGCTCCGAGGGAGCTCCTGAGCCTCCCTGGCAGCAGCTCCGAGGGGCCAGTGCTGGGTCCCCATTCCTGTGCTCTGCTCCAAACCCACCAGGGCAGAGCAGGAGGCCACGCTGCAGAAGCTCAGGGAGGAGTGGGAATCCCGGCAGCTGGAGGAGGAGGAGAGCCTGCAGAGGAAGCAGCAGCTTGCCTTGGAGGAAATGAAGCTGGCAGCAGAGGAAGCCCAGCAGAAGGAAATGAGCAGGCTGGAACAGGAGAAGGAAGAGTTCCTGAGCCAGCTCAGGGGCAGGTTGGACAGGGAGAAGAAGAAGGTGAGATCTTTATTGCAGGCAGTTCCTCGAGTGTTCCTGCTGGCCTGGGGCAGGGCAGTGCCAAGTGTGGGGGTTCACTCACACCTGCGGTGCTTTGGTGACAGTCACTTAGGGCAGCAAGGGCAGTGCCAGCCTGTTGGAGGCACGGGCAGGTGGGCAGGAGAGCTCCCCCCGTTGTTATTACAATGGTGATTAACTGACAATTACTTCAGTGGCCACTCTGCATCAAGATGAGGATCACTGTGTGTCTCCGAGCTGAACTGAGCCCTGTTATCAGATCAGAACTCAACTGAGCTGCTTTATCAGCTCCTCTTTGGCTGCTGCTCCAGTCCTGCAGGGGCCTGGGGAGCCCTTCAGTGGGGCAGTTTCCAGTCCCTCCAGCACAGCAGGACTGGGATTCATCGAGGTCCCCGGGAGGGAAGGCACAGAGGCAGTAAAAGCTCCTTGCAGTGATCCTGTTTGGAGGGGGGGTCACTGCTGTGCCTTTTGATGCTTTTGGATAGAATTTAATTGCAGATGCACCTTGTTCCCAGCCAGAGGTTTCCCAGCAGACTGTTTTGCTCGTGTTTCTGTAGGCAGCAGAGGAGCTGGAAGAACAGTTTGCCAGTGAACTCCAGCAGCTGAAGTCTGCAGCAGAGGGGAAGCACCGTGAGGTGAGGATGGTGTCCTTAGAATGTAAATTGTTGGGTTTTTATTTTTTCCCTCATGCTGTCACCAAAGGTGGCCAGGGAGGGTGGCATTATTTTCTTTCCCCTCCCTAGCTGTGGCTCTGGTCTGGCTCAGTGTTTGGCCGTGCTCCGGGCAGGGGTGGTGAGGCTGTGCCGTGCCCTGGCCAGGGCATGGAATGGATCCTGTGAAAGGGCTGTGGGTGGCTTTCCTGACAGGTCATTTCCAGCCTGCAAGCCCAGCTGGCAGAGGCACAGAGCAGCCAGGAGGCCCAGCTACGTGAGGAGCTGCAGAGAGCAGATCAGAAAGTGCAGGAAAAAGCCCTTAAAGTGAAGGAATACGAGCGTGAGGTGAGTGTTGGTTTTGTGCTGAAGGTTCTTGACACTCTCAGATGTGGGGTGAGCTCTGGGTGCCCACATCCCCTGCCTCAGGGGGCAGGACATCCCTCAGCATCTCCCCTCACCGGGGTGAAGGCTTTGTGCTCGCCAGGACACAATCCCTGAGCCCACTCCGGGCTGGGGCTGGAGGCTGATTTTTGGGAGGCCACTGCAGTGAGCCTCTTTCCCTGCCACCCCTGCAGCTCAGCGAGCTGATGAGCGACAAACGCCGGGAGGTGGAGAAGGAGCATGAGAGGAGAATGGAGAGGATGAGAGGGGAGCACCGTGAGGCCCTGGCGCGGATCCAGGAGCAGTACCAGGAGGAGGTACTGCAGCCGGGGGGCTGCGCTTGCAGCGGGTGCTGCGCGTCCCTGCTGCATTGCTGGCTGCATTGCTGCATTGCCCCGTGCCTCACAGAGGTGTTTCCCTGCCCCTGGCCCTGCAGGAGCAGAAGCAGAGGTCGGAGCTGCTGCAGGGGCTGCGCAGCGAGGCTGCACGGCTGCGGCAGCTGCACGACGCCGAGGTGAGGGGGCTGCAGGCAGAGCTGGAGGGGAGGCTGGCGGCCCTGCAGCAGAGGCACAGCGAGAAGGTGAGCAGCAGGCTCTGCCTCTGGCCCTCGGGGCTCCTGAGGGACGGCCTGGGGGCTCCCCACCGTGTCCCCCTGCACGGCACAGGGTGGCGGACACGAGGGGCAGGGCACCCTCCCAGCTTGTGTTCTCCTGGTGAGGCAGGAGCTCGTGCCATTCTCTTTAACTCCCCGTTCAGGAAAGAAAGCTCCAGGATTCGGAGAACGAGCTTGAGATCCGCATGAAAAACATCCAGGCCAGATCGGAGCAGCTCCTGAGCCAGGTGAGCCTCACAGAGCTTCCCCAGGCTGTGCCGGTCCTTTGGCTGCTTCCTCACGGGGAGCTGCTCAGGAAAGCTCAGCCAGGGCTTCTGCTGCCATCCCCCTCACAGGGAAATCTTTGTCACCAGGGCTGAGCATTGCTGGTGCTGCTGTTTGCCGGGAAAGTCCGAGCTCTGGGTTTGCTCGGTGCTTTGGGGGGCAGTCACGAAGCAAACCTGACAACCCACTCGTTTTGGAATGGCCTTGACACTGAGGTGCTGCCCAGCATCAGAGTGCCCTGGCTCTGACACTGTCCCCTGCCACAGGAGGAGTCCCTGCAGAGGAGGAGGCAGCTGCTGCTGGATGAGGACAGGCGGATGCAGCTCGAAAGAGACGTACGGACCCTGGGGCTGCAGAGGGGCTGTGCTGCTCTGGGGCTGGGGGCAGCACCTCGGGGCTGGGGCTTTAGGAAAACAAAGTGCTGGGAGGTGGCTTAGTTCTGAGCTCCACAAAGAGAAGAGCCAGTCCTGTTCTCCCAGGACTGCTGTGTGGGTGTGCAGCTCTGGGACCCCCTGAGCTGTGTGCCCCCTGTTTTGCTCTTGGGGAAATGACCATGAGGGATTTTCTGGTTTGCTTCTAGGAGGCTGCTCTAGCCTCTCAGCTGCGCCTGGAGGAGAGCAGGAAGGAGCACTCCAGCCTGCTGGAGTCCACCCGGCAGCTGAGGAAGACCCTGGAGGAGCTGCAGGACCAGAAGGCTGAGCTGGAGGCCCAGGTGGACTTGCTGCAGACCCGGAGCCAGAGGCTGCAGAAACGCATCGGGTGTGTGAGAGAAATTTCCTCTGACACAAAGAAATCTGCCCTGTGCCCTGACAAACCTCCCTAATCTAACCTGGGCCTCTCCCCAACCTCTGAGCTCTGTGTTTTGGGCCATGTTCCTTCGGAATCCTGAGGTGCCCATAGAGGGCACAGAGGTGCTGGGGGCTGGTTCCAGGTTTTTCATTAACTCAGGGTGAATTTCAATTTGCTCCTTCACCTCTGCATGTCAGGTCTGTTTGTCTCCTCCACTCCTGCCTTGGGAGGTTAAGGAGGTGCTGTGAGAGGGACACTGAAATGCAGAGAGGTTTTCCCGAGGGGGCTGAGCTGCTCAGGAAGGGTGGGAAGCAGTTTCCCTGCCCAGCCCTGGTGTTGTCTTGCCCACCTGTGGCCCTTTCCCTGCTGGAATCTGGAGCTCACTTTGGACACCACTGCAGGCTAATCAAGTGCCTCTGCTGCTGCTTTTTCCTGTGGCAGGGAGCTGGAGGAAGCAATCAGGAGCAAGCAGGAGGCTCTGAAAGAACTGGAGGCAGAAGAAAGTGTGGAATCTCCAAGAAAGAAAGCCGAGCTCTGTGTTGAAGACCTGAGAGAAACTCCTCAAGCTGTGAGTAAAGCAGCCTGTGAAGGTGTTTGCCTTGTGAGATCTGAGGCTGAAACTCCCTTGAAAATCCCAGCATTTGTTCCTTCTGTGTGAAACCATTTGAGATGGAGATGGATTTCTCTTTGCTGGTGTGTTCAGTAGTATTTGCAGGTGTCTGTCTGTTATTAGTGTGTGGGAGAGGAGTGTGGGGTACTCAAATCAAAAGCAGGGCTTGTGTCGGGGTGGAAACGTCTGTTACCTCCCAAAGCCACATCAAGACCAGCCCTGGTGCTGTGCTTGGGGCTGGGCAGTGCCCTGGTGATGCCATTCCAAGCTTTTGCTGCTCACTGGATTCTTAGGGGGCCCTGGGCTTCTGTTTGCCCCATAAGCACTTAGTTTTAGCAAGGTGTCACCCTCTCAGCACTCGTCCAGAGAGCCTTCCCCAGCCTCGCAGAGCCCCGAGGAGAGCGACCTGCAGCTCGGTCGGTGAGTGTCCCTGCGCCAGGACAGTCCCTGCCCTGCTCTGCCCAGCCCAGCTCTGGGCTCGGCTCAGCACAGCGGGCACCGAGCCCCCGTTTTTGGGGTGCCAGGGGAGCCAGGCCAGCCCTGCCTGTTCCTGCAGAGTGCAGAGCTACATCTCGGCGGAGGGGCAGTCCCTGCGCAGCGCCAAGGAGTTCCTGCTGCGCCAGAGCCGCTCCCTGCGCCAGCGGCGCTCGGCGCTCAGGGCTGCCAGGCTGCACTGGGGCCGGGACCTGCGCAGCGCCCCGGGGGCCCTGCAGGACCCCCACAGCTCCCAGCTCCTGCAGGGCATGCGCCAGAGCCTGGAGGAGGTGAGTCCTGGGCACTGCCTGCGCGCGGCTGTTGGGTGGCACGGACTGCCCGCAGCCCTGGTTCTCCTGGTGTGGGCCTGGTGACACTCCTGGTGTGGGCCTGGTGCCCCTCCTGGTGTGGGCATGGTGCCCCTCCTGATATGGGCATGGTGCCCCTCCTGGTGTGGGCATGGTGCCCCTCCTGGTGTGGGCATGGTGACCCTCCTGATATGGGCATGGTGACCCTCCTGGTGTGGCCCTTGTGGCCCTCCTGGTGGGGCACTGGTGACCCTCCTGATGTGGGCATGGTGGCCCTCCTGGCCTGGGCATGGTGGCCCTCCTGGTGTGGCCCTTGTGGCCCTCCTGGTGTGGGCATGGTGCCCCTCCTGGTGTGGGCTTGGTGACCCTCCTGGCGTGGCCCTCGTGACCCTCCTGGCCTGGGCCTGGTGACCCTCCTGGTGTGGCCCTCATGGCCCTCCTGGCGTGGCCCTCGTGACCCTCCTGGTGTGGGCCAGCTGACCCTCTTGGAAGGGGTTTGGAAGTGAAAGCTCCTTTTCCTTGGACTGACCCTGCCTTGAGCCATGTGCTCACTGTGCACATCCCTTCCCACACTCCCGAGGACTTGGGAGCGATTTCACTGCAGCAGCACTTCCTGTGCTGGGCAGAATGAGGTGGTGACAGTCACCCCAGCTGCTGGCAGGGACGATTTCCTGTCGTTCCTGTTTAATTTCCCTCCTTGGCATGGCTGTGCAGGAGGCAAAGGAGTTGGACAAGATGAAGTCGGCCATGCAGAAAGGACAGGTGCTGCTGAAGAAGAAGGAGGAGAAGCTCAGCCAGCTGGAGTCCTCGCTGCTGGAGGAGGTAAACTCTCCTGGTGTTTGCAGCAGAGCTGGATTTTGGAACCACTTTCTGCGAGAGCACCAGAGGCTGCTGAGAGTGTGGCTGCAGAAGGCAGCTTGGAAAAGCTGCATGGATTGAGCCAGGAGAAAACAAGGGCAGCTCACCTGACGTGAGCTGGGATGGAGCCTGCTCTCCTGACCAAGGCCAACCTTGGAGTCTTTGGCTCTGCCTGGACCGCGTGGCCTGAGGCAGGGCAGCAGCAGATGCAAGAGAAGCAGACCTTTGATGGTCAAACCCTTGTCCCTGTCGCAGAGAGCCCGGCCCTGCAAGAGCTGTGAGGTTATTTAGAGCACAAACCACGCTGGCTCCTGCTGGAAGGGCTGGTTCACGTGGCTGCTGGCTGTGGCCTCTTGCACTCTGAGAGCCACAGCAGTCTCTGGACATTCAGACTTCGCTGTCAGGGGCTGGAGACAAGTTTGCCTTCACTTGACCTGAGCCTGACTGCAGTCCAGCTCTGTAGACAAGCTGTAGGCAGATTTCCAGTAACTTTTATGTTCCAGGGATGATACAGCAGCTTTTACTGGCATTGTTTTCCTCCTCCTGACCAGCTCTCAGATGAAGATACGCTGAAGAGTTCAGCCTGCAAGAAGGTGGTGACGTTTGATCTGAGCACCTCTGAGGACACCAGCAGCACGTCCAGTGTGAACCTGGGCCAGTCGAGATGTAAGTGCCCAGCATGTGAGCTCTGGGCCTGTTCTGCCTTTCCCTCTCACCTCTCTGATGTCCCTGGTCTCAGCTGTGTGTCCAGGGCAGGTCTGGGACTGCTCTGTGTACCACACCCGATTGCAAAAACTTCTCTCCTGCCTGTAGTGGCAGATAAGAGGGATGGGATCTGTGAGTGAACCTGCCTTTTAAATCTCTGTGGATTATAAAATCTCTGTGATTTCCCTCTGATCCTGCAGATCTGTCTTGCTCTTCTGCAGGAGTCTGGGCTTCCCCTTCCTCGCATCGTGGCAGGAGAAGCTGCTGCCATTCCCTCTCTGCTGCTCGTGCCTTCTCTTGGGCTTTGGTTGCCTGGAGTTGTGCTGGGGGAGGAAGGGCAGGCAGGCAGGAGCGTTGGATTGCTTTGGATTTGCTCTTGTCAGGGCTTGTCCGTGATCCCTTTCTCCCCCTTTCTTCCTTCAGCTGACCTGAGAATGGATTTCTGGCCTGTCCTCCAGCAGGACAAGATCCAGCACCTGAGGGACTCTGTGCAGAGCATCTCCAGCGAGCTGAATGGGGTCCTGGGGCTCCTGGACTCCCTGAGCCAGCACCAGTCCCCTCTGCTCACCTCCACAGCCCGTGAGGGCATCCCTCTGCCCACCTATCCCTCCTTGGCAGGCCTGGGGGGGGGCAGCTCCCTGGGGAACCCCCCCAGGGTGTCCCCCCTGGACCAGTGGGCCCGGAGCAGCAGGCCCAGCTCTAATTATTCCATCTCAGGGCAGTCAGTGGACAGCATGCTGACAGAGAAATGGCACAGGTATTTCCCAGGTGAGTCTCCTGGCCTTATTCCACCTGCTTTGCTGCCTGCAAGTCCTGATTTTGTTCAGGCTTCTGGTGCTGGGGAGGGTGGGTGCACTGGTGCTGCTGGTGGGAAGGGTGCTAAGGGGATAAGGGATGAGGAGCTCGCTCCAGCAGTGCAGCATCTGGCTGATCCTGTCTTCCTGCTCTTTAATTCCCAAGGAAGCAGCAAAAGGGGAGCCAGCCCTCTCCACTGGGCCACCCAGGGATCTCCATCTGTTTCCCTGGTGTCCTGTAGGGACGGCGTGGCCGTGGTGCAGGAGAGCAGACACAGCCAGATCTGTGGATTTTGTGGGGTCTCTGTTTAATTCTGTTTTCCAGGTGGGTTCCCATCGCTCAGCGAGAGTCCTGTGCCTCTGGACAGCAAGCTGGGCTATGTCCCTGCAGAGTAAGGGCCTTCCTCCTTGAGATTTCCACTGTGCTGCTGTTTCTCTGCAGTGATTATTGGGTCACTGCTCACATAACAAGTAGATTACAATTTGATAATTAATATGAACTACTTATTAAGAAGAAAAGGTGAACTATTAGTATATATGTATTAGAGGAGGTGGTTTTTTCTTCAGCAGCCCATCACTTTCTCTGTGATATTTTTTTCCCAAACCTCTTTTTCTCCCCACTTACTCTCTCTCTCTCTCTGCCACAGTGAACAAATCAGGCTCTTCCAGCATTCCAAGTTCAGTGAGCCAGAGACAAGGAATATTGAGGGGATGATTGAGAGCAACAAGAAATGGCTGAAAGGCTTCAAGAAGGATTCCAAAGCGTATCTTTTACCTGGGTCTGGTCTTTAATTGCATTCCTGCTTCCTGCAGAAGGTAGGAGGAGGGTGGCAGGAGGGGTGTGAAATGAAGAACTGAGCAGCAATTTCGAGGCCTTGGCCTCTGTTGCAGTGCCTGGTTCTGCAGAGGTGTTTAGCAGATGGAGCAGGAGTGATCTGTGTGCTGCTCTCAGTTTTATTTGACTGAGGGAGTTTCCCTTCCTTTCCCTGGGTTGTGATGCTCTTTGGTGGTGCTGCTCAGCTGTAGGGGAGCAGTTTGAGCAGGGAATGTGAGGATTTAAAAATATGGACCAAACGGTGCAGAGGGGAGGATGGGGTGGGCAAGAAGGGGGTCTGGCTTTGCAGGGCTGCTCCTGATGGAGCCATTGGCATGGGCAGGCCCTGCTGAGCAGCCTGGGAGGAGGTGAGGGCACCTGGAGATGTGTGGACTGGGCCCTGGTGGGGCAGGGAGGGCTGGGCTCCCCCCAGAGCTCTCTCCAGCTCTGTTTTGAGGAATCTTGTAGCATAGGGCTGGATCCAGGGAGCAAAACCTCTCTGTGGTGTGAGCAGGCTGTGGTGCCAGCCTTGTGCTGGGGCTGTGGGTGTCTCTCAGTGTACACTGATATTAGCAGCAAATCCCCACGGGCTCTGTGCTGCCCTGAGCGTGGCGTGCCTCTGAATTCCCTAATCCCCTCTAATTCCATTTGACTGGGGTGCAGCAGGCTAAGCACAGCCTGTGTGCACTGGGCTGGCTCAGTACCTGCTGCCTGTCCTGTGTGTGCTGGTTCCTGCTGGCAGCCAGGCTTTTCCTTCACCCAGCTGCCAGACCTCTCTCCCCACTGGCACAGAAGCCCCCAGGCAGCAGCCCCAGCCTCCTCCAGCTGGGACTGGATGAAAACAGAGAGATCAAGGTGTACCACTACTGAAAGGTGGGGTTTTTCTCTGTGGTGGGCTGGGTTTTGGGGATGCCCACCCTGGCACCTCCACGGTGTCTGTGTGGCACGTCCTTGAAACTGGGTATTTTTGCAAGAGAGTGGAGGAAGGAGGAAGAGAACTTCCCAGGCGGGTTCTTCTAATCCTGTAATGTGTCCAAATATACTTTATAGACTGTTTAATCCAGCGGTGGCATATCAGGGCTTCAATAAATCAACATTTCCCTCATTAGTATTCCAGCGATGGCAAGGTAGAGCTGTGAATCACAGAGGACTTTGAGTAACTGGTCAAGGGGGAGGATGTGGATCCAGCTGAGGCTCTGCTGGAGGAAATGTGGCAGGAAATGAGCCTGCCCCGATGCCCAGCAAATGCTGGGAGGCAGGTGGGCAGTGTCAGGCAGCCTCTGGCATGGAGTGGCTGCGGAGTGGCTGCGGAGTCTGGGGGTAAAATCAGGGAACGGCACATTCTGGCTCTGGGGAATGCTCTGCTTGTTTGGGGTGGAAGCAATAGGAACTGAGCCAAGATCTGGAAGAGCCCTGCCCGCTCCTCTCGGGCCAGGCTGGCCAGAGCTGTGCAGCAAAGCAGCTGCTGCAGCTCTGCCCTGTGATGGCAGCACTGGTGGCAGGACGTGGGGAGGGTCTGTGCAGGCACGGCTGAGGGGCTCCTGTGGGGGACACAGCCCCACCCTGTCCTCCACGCCCTGGGGAGAGGGATCCAGAGCCCGGCCCAGCAGCTGGGACCTCTTTCCATGCACGGGGCTGGGAGCCCCTGCCATAAATCCTGGAGTGCATCTGGAGCAGCTCTGCAGGGATCCCGGGAGAGCAGGGCTGTGGGAGGGCTGGAGAGTGCTGAGGAGTGGGGATGAGCAGCTCCTGGACCTCAGCTGTGCCTCATGGCTTCACTCACCAAGTGCTGTGAGGTTCCTCTGGAAAGGCCAAGGTCCAGAGGGATCCCAGCCCATCCAGAGGGCATCTCAGACTGTCCAGAGGGCATCCCAGCACATCCAGAGGCTATCCCAGCCAGTCCAGAGGGTATCCCAGCCAGTCCAGAGGGCATCCCAGCCAGTCCAGAGGGCATCCCAGCACATCCAGAGGGCATCTCAGCCCATCCAGAGGCTATCCCAGCCCATCCAGAGGGTATCCCAGCCTGTGCAGAGGCTATCCCAGCCTGTGCAGAGGGTATCCCAGCCAGTCCAGAGGGCATCCCAGCACATCCAGAGGATATCCCAGCCCATCCAGAGGATATCCCAGCCCGTCCAGAGGGTATCCCAGCCTGTGCAGAGGGTATCCCAGACCATCCAGAGGGTATCCCATCCAGTCCAGAGGGTATCCCAGCCCGTCCAGAGGCTATCCCAGCCCGTCCAGAGGCTATCCCAGCCTGTGCAGAGGGTATCCCAGCCCGTCCAGAGGGTATCCCAGCCTGTCCAGAGGGTATCCCAGCCCGTGCAGAGGGTATCCCAGCCTGTCCAGAGGGTATCCCAGCCCGTGCAGAGGGTATCCCAGCCCGCTGGGATGCTTGGGATTGGGAGGGGTTTCACTCTGCCCAGTGGGGAGGAGCCAGGCTTTCATGGGAATGTGCTGTTTGGTTGTCTTTGTCAGTATTTCCTCCGAGCTGACTCTAAATATTTTATGCTTTAAAAAGCCGCCGAGCCACTCGCCCGTTCTGGCTGACAAGGACACTGCACTTCAAGGGAGCCCATCTGTGAGAAACCCTCTTCAAAGCCGTTCTCCTGAGACAGCTGCTGGGGGGAGGCTGTGAAGCTGCTCCCCACACCCCCCGTGCTGTGAGAGCCCCTGGGCTGGGTGGGGGTGGGCAGTGGGGGGAGCCCCCCGTCTCTGCTCCCTGGGTGCAGTGTGCTGGCACACACCGTGAGCCTGGCACGGGGATGTTTACATGCAAATAGAAATCTATTTTTGATGAACATCATTTTAAAACTCTGAAGAATGAATGTATTTTATTTTTCCTTGCTGTTTTTCTAGAATTTTTGTAATTACTCAATAGCCTTATGCCTTCCTAGGAGAGGAGGGATCTGAACACGGGTATCCCATCTGCTGTTGGATTGCACAAACCCTTTCCTGCAGGGATTTTGCTTTTAGTTTCCTGGATACTCAGAGGACACATGGCAGTCCTTACAGTCATGGGTTTTAGAAGGGACCCCACAGTTGTGGTTGCTGTGGCCAAAGCCATATCACTGAGTCCATTCTGTGTTTTGGGAGAAGCATGCATTAATGGTGCAGGGAAATGCCAGTTTTTTAAACAATAACTTGGTTTGAAACATGCTCCTTTTTCCTGTTAAAACACAGGATAGCAGCTGTATCTGGTTTTGTATAAATTAAATCAACGTGAGCCTGTTTTGTATGATGGTGGTGGTTGTCACTCTGTTTTGTTGTAGCTGGGTATCCAGCTGTACTTACCTCTCGCATCTCCCCTTGTCTCTGGGCTCTCTCATGTTTTCTCTTGCCAAGGTCATTTCTGGCAGTTCCCAAGACCACTTAAGCTGGCTGTGCCTTTGTTACCATTATTCTTTTAAGTATCTGGACAGGGTAGCAAATGCAGAGGCAGAGAGAAGAAAGCTGAAAACCAAAACTACAGCAGGAGAAGGAGGCGTCGCTCTGGCAGCCTGGGATCTGTTAAAGATGTCTCACTGCACGCTGCCTGTGGCTGCTGGTTTCCCGTGGCTTTGGGAGCAGCCAGGAATTGCCCAGCAGCGTGCTGGCTGCTGCTGGGATCGCTGAGTAACCCTCCCAGGCCTTAGGGAGGGTTGGTGACGTGTTCTTCTCTTGCTGCCATCTCCTACCAGCAGCCTGTGGGAGCTGGAGGGGCTGGCGAGGCGCAGGGTGTGCATCAGCTGCTGGTGCACAAGTGGAGGCTGAGAGTTTCGTCCTTACAAAGAAAACAAACCACCACCAGGCTTTTTTGCCCCAGTTGCTGCGGTGCCTGAGCTGCACTGGCGTGTCTTTGCCCTCTGGAAAGCTGGAGGAGAGCTGCTGGAGGAGCTCTGGTGGCAGAACACAACAGAGCCACCCTGCTGCTGTTGTGAGACATCCCAAATCCCAGCTGGAGTGTGCTGTGAGCCTGCTGAGGTGGGTCCCCAGGAGCAGGGGTGACCCCAGGCTGGGCTGGGCTGCCTGCCCCTGCTCCCCACCCTGCCCCTGCTCCCCACCGTGCCTGTGTGCCTGGAGCAGAGGATTTGCCTTTCCTGGAATGCCAGTGCCGTGTCTGTTGGAGAAACTCTGCGATTAGAAGAGCAAAAGGGCAGGGCCTGATTACTCGAGCGAGCTGAGCAGGGGCTATAAGCTCATTAAGGGCTTGGCCTCTGCCTGCCCGAGGAGGCACAGCTCAGTCCTGCCTGGTGGAGGTCCTGGTGCTGCTCCCAGAGCTCCTGGGCCGTGGGAGCCCCAGAGTGGCCATGCTGGGCACCCTGATGACAGCGCTGTTCTTCGTGGTGAGGGTGGTCAGACAGGTGAGTGTGCCCAGAGGGAGCCTCTGCTGCTCTCACCTGCCTGGGGTGGGAGAGGAGGCAGCAGCTCCTGCTTGCCCTGCTGGGAAGGGCTCGGGCAGGAGGGCTGGGAGCTCACCCCAGGGAGGGCTGTGATCGCTGGTGATGGTTGTGGCTGAGCAGCTCTTTTTGTTCTTCCTCTCCTGTCCTCTTCCCTGCTGAAAAACCTTCCCCGTGTGCAGCTGGGGACCAACCTGTTCCGTGAGGAGCCCCTGCCTTACCTGGTGTACCAGCCCCTGCCCTGGCAGATCCAGTGCGTGTCCCAGAGCCGCCGCACCAGCCGGGACAGCGAGGTGAGGCTGCTGGCACTGCCAGGGCAGCGAGGTGAGGCTGCTGGCACTGCCAGGGCAGCGAGGTGAGGCTGCTGGCACTGCCAGGGCAGTGAGGTGAGGCTGCTGGCACTGCTAGCATAGCGAGGTGAGGGCTGCTGGCACTGCCAGGGCAGCGAGGTGAGGCTGCTGGCACTGCCAGGGCAGCGAGGTGAGGCTGCTGGCACTGCCAGGGCAGCCAGCTCAGGGGATGGCAGTGCTGCTGCAGGGGCAGCTGTGAGCCAGACAGCCTGGAGGTGTAGGCAAGGGGGAAATGTGATGCCAAGAGGGCAGGGTAAGCTGGAAAATGTTGGAGTGGTATTTGCAGACAAATTCAAGCTTATTTTCAGAAATGGAAATATCCCCTGGAAGACCTGGCAGCCCAGGAGCTGCAGGTTCATGGTGCAGGGGCTGTCTCCTTGCTGGTTTGAAATGCAGATCCAGTGAGGATAGGCTGTGCCAACATCCATCCACAGACTGGAGCATCTCACAGCTCTGAGTTTGGATGAAAAGCTATTTCCTGCCTCTCCTTGGAGGTCTTTCCATAAATGCAGATTAATTAATCAGTACTCTTTAAGGGAACAACAGTAAGCAGGTTCCAGTTTCCTAAAGGGAATGGAGAGTGGAAGGGGGTTTCCTGGCTGGCCTGAAGGGACTGTTCTCACTGCCTCTGCCTGGGATAGAACTAACTTTTATTTTATTTCTCTGCCTTTCTAGAGAGGCAGGAACTCCCGACACAACAGCATCTACTCTCTTTCTGGAGAGAAAGGTGAGTGTGGAACAGGCAGAGGGACAGGAAAACCCCCCCAGTTAACACAAGTAATGGGTGGAACTCATGGCTGGGACTGGATGCAGCAGAAGAACAGGCATTGCAGTACCTGCTTCCTTCTTGGCCTCTTTCTCCTTCCACAAATCTGTCTGTGACATTACTGAGGGGCATTTGATGATGAGATAGTTGTTAATGTGTGTAGCATCAGCCAGTGAAGGTGCCAGTGCTGCAAGGCTGAATATAGAACCCCTCACCTGTGTCTGTGCAGACCCCTGCTCCCCTTTCCCTGGAAGCCTGCCCCACTGACTCAGTGGGGTCATGCTGTCCCATAGAACAGCCTCCTTCTCCTTGTTCTGGGCAAGCCCCCTGGCATCCCCCCCTCCTGCCTTTGCTCTTGTCTCAAAGCTCTGCAGTGCTCAGCAAAGAGGATTTGTGCTGTTCTATTCTCGGGGCTGGGGGTGCCATCCCTCCTCGTGGCCCAGGAGCTCTGGTTTCACTCCAAAGGGCTGCAGGTCTGGGCTGAGCTCACCCAGGGGTGCCTGTCCTCAGCCTCTGCCCTTGGGCAGGTTCACAGCTGGCAGGGCAGGGGGGACCCCACTCCCTCCTTTTATTTACCCTTTTACTCCGCAGCTCCTTTTAGGCAGTGAAGGGAAATGGGTTCAGGTGGCAGCGCTGAGTTTATTCAGCAGCATCTGGCCCCAGGATTCCTGATGGCTGCTCGGGGGGTGCTTAGCAGTGACACACTGGCTTAGAGGAGCACTGCTGAGTGCCTTTGATGCAGTTCCTGTTGAATTTCACAATACTTCCCTAATGCCACATTAAGCGGGAGCGGGGAGGGCGCCCATTTGTCAGCGTGAGAGCTTTATTGCTGCGCGGGGCCGGGCTTTTTCCTAATCTTATTTGTGCCTGCGAAAGTAAGTGAGCATCATACGTGGTGATTAAACGTGGCGAAGCTGCGGCCTTCGGGGAGTGGAGCTGTGTAAATAGAGGGCTTAGCACTGCCAGGGAGGCTGGGCTTTGCTTTGCCTCCCGTTCCCTGCTCCTTCTGCCCTGGAGATGTCCCTGTGAGCTGGCAGAGTTGTGGTTTCGTGCTGTGAGCTCTGCAGCGAGGACAGCTCTGTCCTGTCTGAGGAATGGGGAGGCCACTGACCCCACGGGAGCCTGCTCAGGGCTGCTGGCACTGTCTGTGCTCGCTGTGATGCTCTGTTTGCTCCCCAGGTGACGTGAGCCCTGATGGCAGGAAGGAGAGCAAGGTCACTGACCCATCTGAGAGGGCAGCCATCACCATCCAGACCCACTTCAGGAGGTACCAGCAGCAGAAGCAGGAGAAGAAGTAACCACAGCAGCCACCTGTGGCCTGCACCATCCCTCCTGTTTGTCTGTTCTGTACCCCAGAGACATTTGGGGCCGTGGTGACTGTGAGCCTGCCCCCGATACGTAGCTCCTGCTGCAGGTGTAGGATCTCTGCCCTTGTGTTGGTGCTCACAGGGAGTTCTCTGTCCTGCTCAGTCCTTCCCCAGACAGCATCGCTTCATGGGCCAGACCACAGCTGCTGCTGAGGGGCTGCTGGGGACAGAGCACAGCACCTTTGGGAGCCTTGGCCAGCCCCTGAGTGATGCTGTGAGCCCCATCAGCTGCGTGGGTGGGAGGGGGTCTTGTGCAGGCTGGTCACTGCCCAGGACCAGAGAACCCTCCCCTGTGCCTCCACCTCCTCCACTCTGCCTCTGGAGCTGGGTGGCAAAGTTGCCTTCGTGCCCTGCTCTGCGTGGCCAGCAGAGTGGCCAGCACGGTGTCTGGGGCCAGCCTGGAGGGGGACACTGCCAAGGGAACCTGCTGCAGGCTGCGAGGGGGCAGGAGGTGAGCTGGGAGCTGGAGCTTTCCTTGGGGAGAGCTGGCTGGGGTGCCCTGGTTCCAGAGCAGGCACTGGGTGGGACTCTGTCCTCGGGGTGACCCCGCTTTCCTTCTGAGACACGGCAATGCTGGTGTTGGGCTCGGAGCCCACCCAGCCCCTGGCCTGCCCCTCTGGTGCATTCCTGAGCTTGATGGCTTCTTCTCTGCTGTTGGCATGGCCTGGGTGGGCTGTTCTCCTTCCCATCCTGCTGTGGTGAAGGGCAGGGGCTCCCTGAGAGCAGGGGGTGGTGGGGGCTCACGGGGGACTGCTGGAAACTCGTGCTGTGCTAAACCGTGCAGGGCCAGGGCTGTGCCTGCTGGGGACGGGAAGGGGGGAATCCTTGCTGAGATGTAGAAGGAAATCTCTACTAGCCAATTCCAATAAAGTTGTATTAATCTCTGTTAATCCGTTCCTCTTTTTATCTTGCTAATCTGCTTACTCTCACAGCTGAACACGCTTGCCTTTTCTTGCCTCATCTATTTTTAATTTTATTTTCCCCTTCTATTTCTATTCTAAGCCTGGCTTGGTATTTTGGAGGTGCTGCCTGGCTGTGACCCTGGTTTAAGGGCTTGGCACTTGGTTTTCTCTAAAACCTGTGTTATGTAATGGTTTATAAATGTTATGTGCTCTGATGCCTCCCCATCAGCCTGGCTGCGTAGGGTGCCTCTCCCCACATGGGATCTGCCTTGACAGCGGCTGGCTCTGAGCAGTACCTGAATAATGACCAAAAATGATAAAAAATGGGCACAAGAAATTGTCTTAGCAGCTTGTTTCTCAAGCACCAGAGGTGAACAGCTGCCAGGCTCTGGCCAAGGCGCTTCCTACTCTGCAGGATTCCAGGAGTTACCTTAGTTAGGAAGAAGCAGATGGCAAAGGAGGATCTGTGGCCAGTGTGCCAGCAGGCTGGGAAGGGCACTGCAGAGCTGCACGTGGAAGCTGCAGTAACATCACTGTATTTGCATGTCATTTTAATTTGGGTACTCCAATTAAAAAAAAAAAAAAAAGAAATCAAGGAGAGAGGTTGAAAAAATGACCTCTGCAGTGCTTGATTATAGTTGATGAATTAAACCCTGTCAAGAGTAAAAAAAAAAAAAAAAAGAGAGAGAATGGTACAAATCTGTGCATAGATACTCAACTGCTGTGGGCTAAAATAGGAAATGGATCTGTTTGTAAGGGAAGAGCTGGAACCAGTTGGTAGCAAGCATGGATGGGAAAGTAATAAAAAAAACACCAAAACCTGAGCTCATAAATTAGAGGAAAAAAGGAAATGAAAGTGCATGTAGTTAATTACACCTCAGACAACACCAGAACCTCCTCAGAAAGGGGAAGTTCTACTTTGGGTAACTAGAACAAGAGTTAATAATGGCCTGAGCTGTTTTTTTGCCTTTGGAGCAGCTAAGGAGGGCTGGCAGCATTAGGGTTTCAAGTTCTCTTGTTTTCACAACTTTGTATGAAAAGGGGGAAGTAGCATCAGCATTTCTTTGGTCTGATATTGGTGTGGCTGATGGTGAAAACCACGGGGAAAGTAAGAACAAATGACAGGGTGAGGTGGTGCTAGGTCCCACCGTGGTTCTCTGTGCTGCCCCATCCTGGGGCACCTGTGCAGTGCTGTGCTGCCCTGAGCCACATCCACCAGGACCCAGGGAGGCAGAGGCAGCGCGGGCCAGGGCTCTGTGCTGGATTCCCCGGGCTCCAGGCCGTGCTGGACCCACCACCACGCGCTCCAGCGTGACCAAGGACAGCCGTGCTCCTCCTCCTGCTCCCAGCTGGGGCTGGGACTCACCCCAGGGAACAAGACCCTGCTTGGAGGAGCTGCTGTGCCTCGCTGGATGCTGGATCCGATGCTGGAGCCCCCCTGCACTTACCGTGAGCTGCCAGAGCTGTGCTGTGGCTCACGAGGGTCTGGGCAGCCGTTCACCCCTCCGGATGAGCTGGAGCAGGATTCCTGTCTGGCACCATGGTTTGTCCTGGGCTGGAGCTGGACTAGGTACTGCTCTCAGTGCTGTGGCACAGTCGGCTCATGACTGGTCTGTCCTGCTCCATGGAACCATTCCCAGCACCCTGCTCCCGTTTCTGACCCTCCTCCTGCCCCACAGCTCTGCAGGTGGATACATGCCTTATTATTCTTTAATATTCAACGCCTTGCCTTTGTATTTCTGTACTTTGCCTGCCCTGGGCTGTCCCTCTCCATCCTCCTGCCCTGTCCTGCCCCAGCCCTGCTCTGCCTAATTCCCTGCTCACTTCACAAACGCCCCGCGTATAAACATAACCTTTATTGCACACAGCGCTGGGTTTTTTTTCATAGAAAAAGGTATTAACACATAAGCATTTGCAAATTGAAGCAACTCCTGCTGTTTTCAGAACAGTAAAATAGCATGCAATGTCTCGGAGACGTTCCTTTTTTAAAACCACCGACAAGATCAGGGAGAGAAAAAAAAAAAAAAAAGTCGCTGAGTCTTTCCTTGTGCCCCTTTCAAAATGATGTGAAATATATATATATGTTTACATATATATTATATTTTTAAATCTGTAACATCAAATTCTTTGTGCCCTGGTTTCTTTTTCTGTTTGGAGAAGAAGAAAATAGCTTCATTTATACAAAAGAGTCCGTTATGTACAAGTTTGTTAATTAAATATAAACGGCGCGGGGAAACGAGCAGCATCCGGCGGCGGCCCTACACCAGTGTGTAGGATTTGGAGTAGGCTCCGGCACCCTGTTTTTGAGACCTGCCTACCCCCGACGTGCTCATCTCCAGCAGCGAGTCCCTGGAGCCCCCCACTTTGGAGTGCGTGGGCACCCGCGCCTCGGTGGTGGCGGCGGCCACGGGGGGCTCGGCGGGCACGGGGGGAGCCGGGGCGGCGCTGGCGGCGGGCGCGGGCGCGGGGCCGGCCGGGCCGGGCATGGGGAGAGTCCTCTGAGGTAAGGTGGTTGCGGCGGAGGCCGGGGGAGGCAGCCCCAGGGGCTTGGCGCCGGGCTCCAGCGTCATGTGCCGGGCCTGTGCGTGGTACACCCGGGCCAGGTTGCGGATGGAGGCTTCCCGCGGCGGCACCACCGGGCACGGCTCGTGCGCGTCGGGCTTGCGGAAGAAGGCCTCCGACTTGACGTACAGCGGGAGGTTGCAGTAGTCACCTGCCGAGGGAAGAGGAGGCAGGTAAGGCTCTGCAGGGACCCTCTTGCCCCCACCCTCTGGACGTGTTGGCTTTGGGCTATGGAGAACACGCTGGGCTACGGAGAATGAGTTGGGCTATGGAGAACCTGTGCATATAGAGAACATGTGCTACAGAGAACGTGTTCTATCGAGGACGTGTTGGTCTATGGAGAACATGTTGGGCTACGGAGAATATGTTGGCCTAAGGAGAATGAGTTAGGCTATGGAGAACCTGTGCTACGAAGAACATGTTCTTTCGAGAAGGTGTTGTGCTACAGAGAACACAGGCTACGGAAAACCTGTGCTACAGAGAATGCGTTCTGTTGAGAAAATTTTGTGCTACAGGGAACACTTTGGGCTACAGAGAACCTGTGCTGTGGAGAACCTGTGCTACAGAGACTGTGTTGGGCTACAGAGAACGTGTTCTACCGAGAACATGTTGTGCTACACGGAACCAGGCCCTGCTGTAGAGGGAGAACGTGCTGTGCCATAGAGAACGTGCTGTGCTATAAAGAACGTGTCACATTGTCATCCCAAAATTGTCCCACTCCATGCAATGCAACACCTGGGATGCGCCAAGCTCTACTGTTCAGTGCTGTACAATGTCCTGTAATGTGTCATGATATAATAGTGTTAGTTATAATGCTAAATGTAGAGTGATCGATGTTATACTGTGATGTAATACTGAATGTACAGTGAAATACACTATTATAACAGCAATAATGTGATGCTGAAGTTCTGACACAGGACAGGCACGGATCCTGTTCTGTAAAGGACAGGGGAAATGCTCCTTGTGCTGTGTCCCCCTGTGCCAGCAGCCAGCAGTGGGAGTTGGTGTGTCCTACACCCAGCTTTACCCTGCCAAGGTGAGAGGCTGTGCTGCCACAAACCACACACCCTGCTGTGCTGTGTTATGGCATCATCTATAGTTAGTGCCCTAATTTAAGGGTTTTATGTCTGTGTATGGATAAGAGCCCGTGTTGTTATATTGGCTGTTATCGGTGTTATAGGGTTTATTTCTGCTCTATCACACTGCTCCCTTTGTGTTCTACAGCATCACCTCCAGCTGTAGGGCCTTAATTGAAGGATTTATATGTCCACAGATGTAAACCCCTGTTATTAGTTTGCCTTTTATATTTGCAATATATAACACCTCTAGCCAAAGAGCGTTGCTCCTTTAATTGTATATATCGTGCAGTGTGTTCTGTAAGGGCACGTTCCTCTCTTCACAGGATGTGGAGAGAATGTAATTAATACAGGATCTGTGCTGTTAATACAGGATACAGCACATATACATATGGGGCTATATGTATTTTAGGAGTTATGGTTATGTGTGTATATATAAAGTTTTACATTAAAAATATAAGTATTATTTATATAAAAATAAGTATTATATATAATACATATTATTTATATAAAAATGTACATAAATCTCTATATAAATACATACAAATATCTATATAAAATATAAAATAATTCTATATAGATATATACATAAATCTCTCTATAAATATATTAAAATTTACATATAAGTGTACATAAACCTATATATAAATGCATAAATTTTTATATGGAAATATATAAATTGCTATATAAAATATAGAAACTTATATAGCCATATATAAAACTCTATATTAAGAATATAAAAATATATGTATAAATATATTTTATATAAATGTATATATTTGCATATAAACATATAAAAATATATAGTTAAATATGTAAAAATTTATGTAATATAGATTTTTATATATATATAAAGCCCAGTGTTATTATATTGTCTCTTACAGGTGTTATATTGGTGTTATTATAGCACTATTCCCTTAAATCTTGTCTGCTTTATAATAGGTTCTGTAAATTCCTTTTTTTTTAAGGTTACAACAGTGTTATACCTAATACACTCTGTGCTACTTAAACTATGCCATAAAAATATGTGGTCTAATTTGAGGAGAAAGATGATCCCATTATATTGTGTGCTATATAATCAGTAAATAAATTAACTATCAATTCCCACCGATGGTTTTTTCAATCTAACTTCCAAGTATTGTTCTATTTTGAAGTAATAAAATTCATGTGGGTGAGAAATTGTTGGGGTTCTAGCACTAGGGATAGGGAAGAAATACTGAGGAATATCAAGGAATACTGATGAACATTAAAGCAGGGGGAAAATACTGATAAACACTGAGGAATACTAAAAATGAGGCAGGGAAATACTGAGAGCGCCAAAAAATGGGGAAGGTACTGAGGGTCTGGGGC